ATATATATAATATATATTACAGGGTGTATAACTTCTATGGGAGGAAGGGCACATCATAAGGCTTAAGAATTGCATTGAAACCCATGAAAGGAAATATCATATGTGAATAAGGAACACTCGCCTATTATATACTGTTTCTATGCGTCTTTGAACATGTACTTTTATTTATTCTAAATTATCATAATTTTATTTTTTCTAATAATGGATAATAATTGTAACAAATGCCATTCAAATTGGTTCAGTATCAGATTTTCAATCTTAAAGATTTGGTAACTAATTCATCAAGTTTGCAAAATTTTTTAAATTTAAAATATAAAACTGAACAAATTTAAATACCATTTTTAACAATAAATATTTAAGGACATAAAATTAAGATAAAATAAGAGTATCTGTTCAAAAGCAAATGTAGAAACAGTTTATAGAGAAATGTCCCTAGCGACATAGAATGGCATTTTCATTTATGGATTCCTATGATGTAAACGACCTCCTCCAGAATTTTGTCATTGTGATAGTGATATACCCTGTGTGTGTATATGCATGTATATAATATATATGTAATAAGTGCCTTAATGAATTCTTCCACAAATGCAATTTCTTATAAAAGTTTTTATACCTAAAACGTCTCTTAAAATGTTAGAATGGAAGATGCTACGTTTTCTAGAGTCACTTTTTGTTTTCTTTTTAAAAAAGAAGTGCATAGTTATGATAACTACAACTCAGTATTTATTTTAAATTATTTGCATAGATATATTTATATATTTATTTATATATGTACATATAATATGTACAAATTTATCAACACTCTTAAATTTTTATTTAACCATATCTGATACAATTAGCAGTCACACAAGGATTAGTTTTTTTTAAAAAAAATCAGGTTAAGGAATCAAATACGCTAGAAATATATTTGCTTTTTAGTTTCTATTACCATAAATGATAGTACATTAAAAGCTTTTCATTACACTACCATATCACAAAATATAAACGGTATAAATTTTATACTGTAAACATTTCAGCATTCTAATTAAGTATTACAATGAAAAACATTAATCATAACAAGTTTTAATGAATTATATTCGAAGTGACAAATATTTCCAAGTCTGCAAAAATAGTCTAGATTACAAGAAATGAACTGTATACATGGACAAATTATCAGTCATTAAAACAATAACAAATTATGCAAAATAAATTCTTAAATAGATGTATTAAAATAATTAATAAACATACAAATAGCAGCAATTTCACAAATATATAGTTATTTTTATTAAGTAATAAGATTAACTTTGAAAACATCAAGTAATATTGAAGGAAAGAATTGGAAATAATACTTTGATTAAAATGTGATAAAATAACTAGTATTATAAAAATTAATTGAAATACAGATTTAAAGATCATTACCAAAATTTTAATTTATAAATTATGTGGATAAATAATTGCTTATTTCATTAAGTATTTATTAAAACAATTACTACTTAAAGCAGTTCATAACTAATTAAAAATGTTTTGGATATTTTATAATTTTAAATATATCTATATTATATATTGCATAAAGGAACAATTTTAGGCCTAATTAACAATCAAAACTAATGATGGCCAATTTAAAAAAGAAAAAGAAAATTTAAATATTGCAATAAAATGAGATGAGCTATATACAATGTATTTGAAATGCTAATAATGAAATATAATTCTTCAGTTCCAGTTGTTTAACCAAGAGCAATTCAAATTATTCCTCTCAATAAAGCTGTTTTGCTTAAAAAGTACAATTACGATAAAAGTAAAGAAACATTTCTATTGTAGTGAAATTTATAAATGCTATTTACTCTCTCGTAAAATCACACTATTTCTTTGGATAAATATTGACACAATTAAAATTGTACATTCATCTAAAGGAAAAAGAATTAACGACTAAATATCTGTATTATCACTGAGTTCTTGTAAATGTATAGCAAATATGAAAGTTTTACGTTATCTTTTAAAAATTAATTAAAACCATATTTTCATTTTCATGTTAGATTTTATGGCCACATGGTAAATAAATTAATACATCAAGAAAACTTGATGCAAAAAAAAAACTTTAAGGCATGCTTTACTCCCATCAATTAAAATTTGTGAACTGTTCACAATTTACTAGGGAATTAAGATCTCAATAAACACAACATGTAAAAGTTTCAGAAATGAAATGTCATTATATTGCTTGAAATTTATAAATTAAAATATGTTTTAAATAAAAAATAGCAAAATAATTTTTAAAAAAAATTGAAAGCAAAAGCCAAAAAGGTTAGTGTTTGAATTAAGAATAGTTCACACAAGGGTTGTAGAAATTTTTTCCCAAAAAGAAATATTTTCTCTTTTACTAAAAGGAAACAAAATTACCTATGAAACTCTTATAGTTAATAATTTTAATAACTTTTTTACCATCTATAAATAAGTTAATTTGAAAGTCATATATATATATATCAAAACCTCTATTTAACAACTGGGACTAAAGAATATCTAACATTTGAATATTATTGAGCAATAAAATAAAATTTGAGAGTAAGAAAATAAAATTAAAAAAACCCAAAAGCACATATTATGAGGAAATTCTCTTTTAGAAAACTAAACAAATAATGTTATGACTGACTGCAAGGCAAAATAGGGAATCATTTTCCCCATAATGTATAAGAGCACCCTTTCTGTGAATGGCAGGAGCACTTTCAATTATTAGTCCACTGGCTACCAATTGGCCATTCCAGGTTTATTAAGAGTCATAAAGTAGATCTGGCACGAAGAACCTCCCTTGGCTGAGGAAAAGAATACCTGCAAAGAAATTTGAGATTATCACATTTGAAGAGTTGAAAAGCATCAAGGCTATTTTATTCATTCATGACATGCAAAAAGTATCTATGCATGCTTATTTCAAAAAATATTTCATAACACTAAAGATGAAATGTGACTATATTCAACATTGAAACCAATGCTTTCTTTACTCGACAAAAATGCAATGCACCCAAAAACACCTACAAAAAATAAATAAATAAACCTACCACAATATAAAAAGAACATCACTCTATTCACTGTGCCAAACAAATAAACGTACTACCAGTATTATGGCAATTGCTACAGTTTTAATAAGAATTCTACAAAGGATTTTCTGTATTTTCCAAAAATATTTTTTCTAATGGTAGCAAAAAAAGTATTTATATTTTAATGAATTTGAATTAAAAGAACTTTTTTCCACCACTGGTCATAATTTAAAATCCTTATTAATGTCTTATCCAAAATCTATTTGTTTTTAAAATTTTGGCTTCAATTTACTACCACTGATAGTAGTATTATATTGATATATTTGGTAATTATTGCATGAATATTGAGCATAGTAAGGATTTTGTGGAAATAAGTGTCGTACGACCCCTCGAAAGAGATGGATACCAGAGAAAATTAATTTATAGTGATAAATTTCAAATATCATGAACTGATCCTAAGCAATAGCATCACACCAAGTAATGCTGAGTACAGTAAATTTTTATTTTAATGGGATGAACAATAAAAAATGCCTTTTGCTTAACTTAAAGCCAGTGGAATGACAACAAGCGATAATAAATAATTTAAAAAAAGGAAACTATTTTAGCTTTAATTGTGTGGGTATCAGCATTTTCAGTTTTACGCATGATTTTGCAGAGTTGCTCGGGACTGATTTATGGATTTCCTTTTTTTCATACACCCCGTATTCAGCTAGTTTTATATCTCACTCAAAAAAAATAATTTTACAACAAATAAAATGGAACAACATTAAGTAAAAATATCACGTAAAAATAGAAAATAAAATATTTTTTTAAAAAAAAAAAATTTAAAAACAGAATAAAACATGAAACGAAATCTATAAAGCAAGTAGCGAATTCAAATGAACTTACATGAGAGGTAAATTTTTCAAGAATGATTTAAAATATTTTCCTAACAAGATTGCCAAATTGCAAAATATGAAACTAAAAGCGCAAATTGAAGTAAAGCGTAAATAGAGGGGTTTTGTATTAAAGTGCATTCTTACTTCAGTACTGAAGTGCATTTGATTTGTTAGTTACCAATATATATATATATATATATATAAAACTTTTACAGTGAAGTTAAAATTAGCACATTTCTATAAATACTTAAAAAATCAACAAACATTTTAGTATCAAAGGCTACTAAACTTTCATTTGTAGAAACTTACTTTATCATTTCTTTCACACAAAAATTTCAGCTTTTGAGCTTTCTTATGCATAAACACACCATCTAAATGACCAGTTTCCACATTACGTATTTCTATCGCTTTATTGCCCCATCCCATGATTTGGCCTGTCCCAATATACGCTACAAGGAAGAAAAAAATTATTTAAACAAATGAAAGATTGAAAATAAATCACACACAAACTTAAAACTACTAATTTTAAGCTACAACCTGAAGTTGTACTTTTTAGATGATAGTAAATGAAAGATCAACAACATAATTTTTAAGAACAAAAAATCTGCAATTAATTATTATTTTGAAATTTTATTTATTGTAAATAAATTACATTAAATATTTAGCTTTAATTCAGTTAAAGTTGCCAATTTTTTAAAAAGTCACTTCAAAATCTTCATAGCNATATTCATCATTGTATAATACAAAAAGCAAAAACTAATAGTTAAAGAAATGTCAAGTTGTGTTCATTTAACTAACTTTTATGTAAAAAAAAAAAAAAAAAAAAAAAAAAAAAAAAAAAAAAAAAAAAAAAAAAAAANAATGAATAGTATTTTTTTTTTTTTAAATTCATCCAGTATTAATCTCATTAATGTTAAATAAAATAAAAACTACTGATGCTCAATTGACTTGATCTGTAAACTTTTAAACAGAATTTAGTAAAAGCTCAGAAGAGATGCATATTTTAAGCATTGTCTAACAAAAAGCAATTTTTTAAACTTCACATTCAGAAACTGTAGCTACTACTCTTGTTTGGTAGTTAATAACATCGTAAAAGCATAATCTAAATAAAAAGCAAGCATATCTTTAATTAATAATTTCATTCCCTTTTCTTTTGCATAATCATGCAAAAATATTTCCCACAATTGATTAATAATTCATTTAATCCTCCTCTTTATAAATCATTACTATCTTTTTCTTAATAACTTTGGCATTTGTGCAGAGATCAAATTGTTTAAATAGATCATTTTTCTACAATTGCCTAAAATATTAATAATATAAAAATTCAAGAACAGTTCAAGTTTTATTACAATGTTTTCATCTTCATAAAATAGCCATTAACTTCCTACTGTCAACACTGCTATGCAGATTATTATTTTTAGTGCAAAACAATTTAAAGAATACTTTTAAAATAGCTTTCATACTAAGATTGAAATTTGGAAATATAATTTTATACTACATAATATGTAACTGTTCCTATCATAACTGAATAAAATGTTCCATTTAAATCCATTGTTTACAATAAATATTACTATTGCAAAATAAAAGAATAAATAAATAAAAATTCTGTTACACATTTCAAACTTTATAATTATTTCAAACAAAATAGATAAATAATGGTAAGGTCAACAAAAAAAATATTTCTTACCTACAGATGTTGGCATCTCTCCCCACTGAAGAACAATATTTTTACTAACTTTCCCATAAGTATTTACATAAACTCCTTCATCTAGAAATAAAAATAAACAATTTATTTTAATCCATAACAAAAATAATTTCAACAGAACTCAATATATAGGATGCAACACAGTTTATACTCAAAATATTGGATGGAAAAAATCATAATAAAAATCATTAATAAAAAAAATTATTTCATAATGCTGTAAAAGAGAAGAGTAAGGAAAATACATTGCACATAGCAAATCTTTGAAAAAATTATAGGAGATGCCTTAATTTTTAAAAAATAAGTATGTTGAGTTCTTTAAATATAACTAAAAAGTTAAAGCAAGAACAAGCACTGATCTCGTTACAATTACTAAATATAATTAATAGCACTTCAATACATAATTATTTTAAAATTTTTGTAAACTATTATAAATTATCAAATCCTTCTTGAGTATTCTGAGTAAATCTTCCATTCCAACTGTTATACTGCAAATAATTTTTTAAACATCTTAAAACATTTAAGAATCAAACTAATTTATGTATTGCTTTGTATTTTGCATAATTTATTTATTTCAGTGATTTTCCGAACATCAGACTTCAAGCTTTGAGAAGTTGAAAGGTTTTCAAAGAATTGATTTGTTTTTATTCGTTAACTCAATGAGATTGCTTAAAAAGTTACATTTGCAACTTACATATAAATAAATATGCATAGCATTGTTATAAAAAAAAATCATATATCATCACAAACAACTTATTCTAAACAGGTTGTCCAAAATACAAGTGTGGCATGCGTACAGAATTTAACGGTCGGATCTTTCTAAAGTTTTCCTAAAGGAATGCAGCATCTTGCATCCCTCCTGCTTCTGCTGAAACTGTGTTGACATTGTTCAAAACATTTTTAAAAAATATGAAACTGCAAACCTTAAAAATTTCTGATTTTAAAATAATGAAGACTCCACAGAAAAACGTAATCTACAATGAAATATTTGAAACAAATACCAAACTTTTATATGTGTGCTGTAAAATTCACAAATTAAACTCAAACACATATTAATAATTCAGTAACTTTTTAGTTTCTGCTCAACAAAACATATTTTGTCGCATTGTGTTAAAAATTATTAAAATAAAGAAAAGTATCATTTTTAACAAAATTAATCTATACAAAAATTTTAGAAAAGAGAGTCTTCTTAATAATAGAGAACTAGTTGTTTGGGTACACTTTTAAACTGATAATGCAACATATGATTAGCAATAATTACAATAAAACTATAATAAGTAATTTTAAATCTTTAACAACATCATATTATATTATCTTAGACAATATATTACAAGATCTCTGACAATAAATTACAGTTTAAACAGTTAGAAAATACTTTTTTTCTCTTTTATATTTGATAAATTCTTAAAATGAGCAGTAAATAGCTGGAATCAAATGTAAAACAATTTATGTTCAGTTATAAATTTTAAGCATTGAAATTATACTCACTATCATAACAAAGAAGGAGTTGCAAGCCTTTGGAATTGGGAAGAGTGACTATAGTGTGAGGTGTAATGGGGCCCTGAGACTAAAAGAAATATAAATATGAATATTAAAAACTTTTGAAATGTTTTGGACAATGGTTAAAATAAACTAGACAAAGGAGCAGACCATATATAAAGGTACTTAAAAAAAAAGAAATACTGACATAAAATTACAATACAATTAATTATATCTAAAAAAAATCATACATATAAAAAAAAAAGAATCTGCACAATCTAGCAGAAAAAATATTGTGTAAAAAAAAGCCCATAGGCAAAAAATAAATAAATAATATAAAATAAAATAATACAATAAAAAATGTGTAAGATGCAGCAAGTATAAAAAAATGAAATAATAAAAAAAAGATACTTGTATGCCTTTCTAAATTAGGAACAAATAAATGTTTCAATGATACTGACAATTCTTTTTAATTGTCACACATATTTAAAAAACCAAAATTAGTTTATTTTAATATTTAATGAGTTGATATGAAAAATTACATGAATTCCAAATTAGTTTCAATTTCCTGTTTAAAAAAGTTGTTTCCTACTACTGCCACAGAATGCTTTAAAATTACAGTGTTTAATGTTAGTGTTTTCAGTCTTCTAAAGACAATTTTTGAAGAAAAAAAATTATGAATGCAATTTTTAATTATAAAACAGATTTCAATTATATTTTACAAGTTTTATAAAACTTTAAATAATCCAAAAATACAGGGATGAAACATATGAACCTCATATATTAAAACCAGAATTTTAAAAAGTATATATTAACTGACATTTATTATTCTCTATGCATTTATGCACACAATCAAAAATTTCAGATTATTTAACATAATTGCAATGAAATACACATCATGAAAGTATTTCATCAGGGAGCTATTTAAACTCCAAATTTCCTTATGATTTTTGAGTATCACTTACTACAACATTAATAAATAAGTATGAAATGATAAGTAGTTAACCTTTTCAAGAGGGATCAACAAGACATCTAGATCTGTTGAGGGACTCTTTTTGCAACTGGGGTGCAAATTGTAAAAGGTAGCCTCTCTTTGCAAAAAAATAGTGACGAGAATGAAGCAATTTTATCCCCCCCCCACTGTTTTTTTTTTTTTTTGTTAACTTCCTTGACTATCAACTACTTCTTTGACCATCGTATTTTGGGATAGTACAAGGGCCACCAGAGAGGGACTCTTGTGCTTTTGTATAACTTGAAAAGTGCAGAAAACCCTTTACAGTGCTTTCATCAGATTCAGCATAAAAAAGTGAAGAAATAACATCCCACATACCGACTTTCTATAATAAATTATCAGCCTGTCCTATGTTATTATAATTTATGCACCTCCATCCATTCATTCATTAGCACCATGTGACACTGTTTTGTTATTTTCCAAGTTTATCAATACAGAATCTCAATAATAAATAGTATTTCAATGTCCATTGGGATATTTATGCTAAAAAAAATTATGAATGGAAAAAATAATAGAAACAGCTTTTTTTTCTGCTGTTATAACAATCCTTCATATACATCAATTTCAGCAAAACAAAATTTAAACAATAAAGTCTTAGTTTACAATAACATACTAAAGTTTTGTTAACTATAATTATCAGTACCTATAATAATAACTATTTAATACAGTACAATTGATATTTATAATTTTTGTACGTTTATTAAACATTTGACATTTAATTTCTATCAAAAAAAATTTACAAGCTGTTTTTTTAACAACATATTTAGATTAAAACAAATTTTAAACAATTTGTCATTGTTTTACAATAAGTCTGTGTAAAAATAGAAGAAATTTAAATCATTTCTGATGCACAAGAAGACATGAAATTTAACTACAAATATTAACTATTTGAATGTATTTTTTATCTTTAGAATTGTTAAATCTTTTCAATTTACGAAAATACGTCATCAATAATAAATAGTTTTCATAACTTTATTTACCAGTTTTATGCTTTTATTATTAATGATAGTAACAATAAAAACAAGAGGGGGGTAAGATAATTCTACTATAATTCACGGCTAATTTGATTGATCTGTTCTTCTCAGCAAGAATGGTCTTTACTTTTGAAAATTATTTTATCAAATAAATTCCTTTAATCTTATTTTCTATTTTATAATATTATATATTAAATAAATTGTGTGATACATTAAAATACTAGTAACTACAATAACTTGGTTAATCTTAGAAAAAAATTAATACAACAGTTTTAATTTCATTTTATTTTCTAAATAGCATATAGTAATTCAAATCACTACTGTAAAAAAAAATGCTTTAGCCAGTTTCTAAATTTACTTATAACATATCACTCAGAACCTTATTCCTCTAATCTCATAGTTAGAATCAAATATGTGCTTTCATTTCCAAAGAATTTTCTTTTAAAAAAGTTCCCCGACAAGTAATACGTAAACATTTCAATTATTGTGTTTCAGTTGCAAATTATTCATGATTCATATAAAACAGTCATATTCAAAAGATCATGTTATTTTCCTTTTGTACCAAATTTCATGAAAGAATGCATCTTACTGCATCTTCGATAATAGAAATTATTATTTTTCTTTTTTACATTCTTATTCAGGTAATAGATTTAAGAAAATTTAATGTTCACAAAAATTTAGTTCGATCTTATGAAGATAAACTAACGAGATATTATTAGCCTTCATAAAAACTAACTTAAGATTAAATTGTGTCAAGCATAATGAGAAAGGAGGAACACGAAAAATGTCACAAAAGAAAAAAGATTATGAAGAAAGAGGAAAAAAATGACGTTTATGATTTCATTTAAAAAAAAAAAGCATAGAAAAAGACATTAGTATTATAAATTACAATTTTAAAAACCGCAATCCTTAAAATCTTTATTCAGCCAAAATTATGAATGAAGTTACAGGTAACAAATGTAAATATATGCACAAATTTTTCCTACAAAATACAAATCATAGAAAAAAATTTTATTCATGTCTGCACCAATTATAATCAAAATTTTAAAAAACCAATAACCTCCATATTTATACCAAAAATAGAAAAGAAACCCAAAAAATATTTATCTGTGTTTATTTAAAATATTTTACTTTGAAATTAATTTCAATTTGAGATAATTTACTTTGACGGTTGTGATTACTTGATATTTTTATGTACAAATCAAAATTGCTATTCGTTAAATTAAAACAGCAATAAAGAAATTATCTTTGAAAAATAACTTTAACATATTTTTGTAAACAAAAAAAAATTTGCATAATTTAAATTGATTAAAAAAAGCAGGAAAGAAAACAGATGAATACCTGAACTTCTAATTGATGTTTGAAAGCAGGTGGGAAATGTGAAAAACATTTTTTACTCTTATGAGAAAGAGAGACTTCCCATAGTTACTAAAACACATCCTACTACCACTCCTCCCCCAGAAAAAGGTTAAAGCAGAACTATCTATATTAGAGGTTCTAAACTTAAAGAGTGTTACAGCAAATAGCTTCAAAATTGTATAGAGTAGGGTTGTAGGAGAAAAATGTAGCAAAATAAGTTATTTCAGTTTCCTAATTCAGTAACACAGTGTTTCCCAACCAGTGTTCCAGTGTCCGCGGACCGGTACCGGTCCGCGGATCAAATGGTCCCGGGCCACCCATTTAATTGAAAATGAATTTGAATTCCTAGGTTTATACCCAAAATTAAAAATATCTGGTAAGGAATGAATCTCCCACCCATTTGTCAACAAATTGGGCGAATCTAGCATGTCTGTGCAAGAAGATCAACTGTTGGAGATTGCAAATGACGGCGGCCTTAAAACTACGTTTGAGACAACTCTGCCGGTGTTTTGGATTAAAGTCACGGCAGAATAGCCTGAGATTGCCACCACAGCACTTAAATCCCTATTGCCATTTCCGACAACCTATCTGTGTGGAGCGGGGTTTTCTGCAGTAACGGCAACCAAACCAAAGCAACGGGATAAACTGGACATAAGCAACACACTTCGGGTGTCATTGTCTCCGATTACCCCAGATGGAACAGTCTGATTGCAAAGAAACAAGCTCAGTGTTCTCATTGATTTAACGTTCTAGTAGGTTAAAATGTTAAATCACTTTATATTTATTTTTTTGGTGTAACTGTATTTTATTTTGAAGGCATGTTTTAAATACAATTAAATTAAAATTAATAAATCAAATTAATCTAAAATTTAAATAATCAACGTCGTCGTCCCCAGCGAGCCACAGTAAAATTATCAACCGTTGACAGGTCCGCTGTGATAAAAAGGTTGGGGAACACTGCAGTAACACTTAATTCAGTTTCCATTCTTATTTTACTTCAAAATCCACATTTCGTTACTTTTCAGTCAAAGGAAGCATAATTACACCCAAAGTTGCTTAAATTATTGAATAACTGAGACAGCTCTTTAAATGTAAAAATTAAAGTTTACTTTTAATTAATTTGTAAAATACCCTATCACGAATACTTTTTAGCAAAAAAACTAGTATTTGATCAGAATTATTAGTTTATTTTGGGAAAGGCATAAGATTAAAGAGTGGTTCAAAACTATACGTCAAAAATGTTAAGGCAGGTAGCCTAAATAAACTGATTTCGTATGGGAATGTACAATTAATGCTCAAATGCAGTGTTAAAGTACTAGCATGTAATGCAGTATTAATCTCAAGTAATTGAAAAATAAGTTAGTCATAAGAAAACAAATTATTAACAGTTCATAATAGCTTGCAACCAGTTTACAATCAAATTACAGAATTATTCGTAAAAGCAAGTATCAACAGGAATACAGGATTCAAAAAAGTGATGCATGAATTGGTTTACACTAGCAAAAACATTCAGGCATGTCATCATATTTTCTGTGGCAACTGACAATTGGCAACCAGATCTTCAAATGCTTCAGGACTATTGTATAGGTTACATGCTTTTCCAATGAATCCAAATGAAAAAAACCAAGAACGTCAAATGTGGAGAATGCGGTGGCTAGTTCAGAAACAAGAGCTGGGGCTCTATCTTGCTGGAACCACAATAGTGAGCAAACAGCCAGAGAAACATTAGCCAAAAGTTCATGAAAGACATTTAATAGAAAGATGCTGTGGGTACAGTTAAACTACTTGGTAGAGTGTGTAGCCCTGATAAGTTATTGTGTTTAAAGCCAGCGCAAAGTTTAATGAAAAACTTTAATTGTTAGGCATATGTTCTATTGCATATCAAGCGTTATGATTTATCCAAAGGCTATCCTGGATTATTCATCAATGAATAAAATATTTGGGGCAGCCTGGCATTAGTTGACACACAGAGAATAATCGCCAATGCTTTGTGAATAGTACAGATCTATTCTGTCTTCAAAACAGTTTCATGGTTCACAATCAAGCACATTTCAAAGGATTAGCCTTGTATTCCACAGCAGGAATTCCATGTCAGTATTACGCCTGGAAGCATACAATCATCGACTCATACTCGGAACCAGTTGAAGACTGCTTTCTATCAGCTAAACACTGCATTTCCAAGAACACACATTTCTTTTTGAAGTCTGCTCATATCAGTCACCTTTCCAAGCCTTTACATTTGAACCACCTCATATTAATATTATTTGTATTAGGTTTAAGCAATAGTTAATGATATTATGTGAACATATTCTTGATCTTAGGATAATAACATAAAACCAGGTTCAAAATACTCTATATTAAATAATGATTTTTAAGAAATATATTAAAAGCAAGCAGCAATGATATTTTTATCTGCATCAAAAATTAGGATTAGAGCGCATGAAGCCTACTAAAAGCTAAAATAATGTATTCATATTTAAAACATACCCGACCACGAAACTATCCAAAAGGAGCACAAGAAAAAGATCAACGGAAATATTATTATTCAATTAAGAAATCATCAAGGTGCTTAATGAAGTGCAAATAGATGCAGAAAATGTTTTGCAGTGACTATAAGGCACATTTTTTTACTTGCTTTTAAAATGTAAAACTATCAGTTAATTTAAAGTAAAGAGCTATGAAGTAAACCAAATCAAAGATTTAAAAAAGAAAAGTTTATTTTATGTTAAATAAAAATTTACATATTGAAATGCAAACTATCAGCAAAAATAAAGTACGAAACTTTATATTTAAAATTTCCTTTACTCTTTTACAGATTAAAAATTTTCATCAAATCCAACGAAATTTAATCCAGTGAATTTTTCCTATGATTTATCTTGGCATTAAGGATTTGTGTGAAACCTCAAAATTTTGGCACGTCTAAAAAAATCCCGGTATAAGGAATGGGACAAAATATTAGTAGGTGAGCTGCAACATGCATACATTTAAAATTTAGTCACCTGCATACAACTCTGCATTAAAAGCAAAAGGTCTTCACTTTGAAAACTTATTATATTACAGGCAATAAAGTTTTCAAGCTAATTTGAAAGTCTGGTACTGATATTTTACTAAGCATTAAAGTTGTAGAGCATGTGTGTTAATTTATTTCTTGTAACCCTGTAATTTTAAACTATGCACAAATTTTCAAACGAACCACAGAGCGAGGGATATTGGTGTTGCAGTATGTCACTTGTTGTAAGTTTTAAGACTGATTTCATATAATGTATAATAAATATCTTCTATGTTATTATGCACATCATGACAATCAGCCACAACACGTCAAGATATGAACTAAAGTAATCTTCAAGAACACAGAAACAGATTTTTGAGGTTAAATATTGTATTAAAACTATTAGTCTACAAAAAATAGAATATAGTCTAGTACTCTGACAAAAAGAGTACTAACTTTACTCATTTAACTACTCTTTTACTCTAGTTACATTAGAAAAAGAATAAAGTAAACTACTAAGAAAACAAATGAAAACACAGACAAAAAACACACAATTCATGGTGTTGTCTTGCAAACTACATGCTTGAGAATTAAATTTAACATCAATAAAACAGGTCTTAAATATAGCAAAGAGAAAACTTTTGTTACTTTTAAATCTATTATGTGTAATTAACTTTCTTTTTATTTATCCAACATATTAGTTATTGTGTTTCTCCTTGGATTATTATTTTCTTAAGTTTACTGAAGTTGCAATTTTTAAATTACCATATTTATTCCAATCTAAGCTACACTTTTCTTTTCAATGTTACTGAAAATCAAATGCAGCTTAGTATCGAAGGGGTAAAAATTCGTTGAATGAGGAAAATTTAGTTTTTACCCCCTTACAAATGGAAAAATGTAACCGTCCATTCTGGTCACCTGCACCGAGCACTAGTCTCCGTAGCGTAGGTGTATCTTCAGTGTTCAATCCATTCTGAACATGATTGTCTGTATAGCAAATGCATTAGATTTCACGGTAGACAACTCCTTGTAGGAAAACAGCGACACCAATAGCAATTCCAAAGTCAGTTGTGACAGTGGGAGTGACCAATCATTGTCGGAGCATGATACAGTTAGAGAAATTATGGGTTCATATGTGTATTTAATCCATTAAAAAGTTTTCAATGATGAATAATTAAGAACTGAATAATTAAATTAATCATTCATTTCTTATTACTTCCTATTATTAATTTTCTTTAATTTCATAAATATCTGATATCAATAAACCTTTTCATGCTACTTTTTATTTTTCACAAATAAGTGTTCAAATTTTGGAATGCAGCTTCAATTCAAATAAATGCCACATAATCAGATTAAACAGTGGCGAGCCATATGCAGCATGGCGGATTCATCACCAGATCATAGTTTAGATACCCAGAGTATCAACAACAAAAAAAACTCAAATATGAGTTGCAAAAAAATTCATAAAAACTAAGAAGGATATCAAAATAATTTACTCACATGAGCAGGTATATAAATATCGTAGACAGCACCAGAATCCAAATCTACAGCATGAAAACCTTCAGTAGAACCGTATACTACTTTGAGCCGAACACCCTCTTCAATCGTCATATCTATTAGAGCAGGCCGGTGAGCTAAGTCTGTAAAAGACTTGAAGGCCATAAATTTGTGATACGGTTTTGGTGCCCATGCATAAATTTCTATGCTTTCTTTCAAGGCGATCACAAGGAACTTTATTCTTTCATATTTGACTAGGAAAAAATTATAAAAACAGTCACTCTTTGGTAGCATATTAGTGATATAGTACTGTAAGTTCTTAAAATCATAAAATAAAGTAATTAAATTTTGGTAAAAACTGGACTGATAATTAGAATCAAACATCATTACAATGATGTGATAAGTAGTCTGATGAAAAACCTATGAACAGGTTTATAAATAATATTTGTTATACTTTGAAATGAATTATTGTTTAAGATTATAACATAGTAGAATTGATGTAAATATAAAATTTAAAATAAAGTTTTAAATATTAGCATCCCTAAACAAAGGCAATTTTAAATATATAAATACACAGTCAAACCTCGTTAATGCAAACATGCTTAACATTTTTAACAATTAATTTTCGATTCCCAGTAAAATTGTATTCGGATATAATACTATAAAGTACTTTTAACATGGGACATGCTTAATGTGAAATATCTTTTAATGTGAACTTGAATTTCATTGCCCTTGGAAAAATATGTACATTAAATATCCTCTCTGACAGGTAAGAAAACTAATCATTCACAGTTCTATATCTATAAGGGCAGGTTTTTTTAATTCTTTGTTATAGAGTTGGTAATTGCAACATTACAGCAATTAAATGAATGAGTTGTATGAATTAAATCTGTTGAGAGAGCATTGCTATTGAGCATTACAGGAAACAACATAAGCCTTTTGTACTATAATATGAAAAGAGTTCTTTTTAACCTCATGAGCGTGAATGCAAAGAAGCATGCTTTCCTGAGAAATGACCACCAATATTGATCCTTTTTCCAATATGGATAGTTATTTCCCTAACACTCTCATAGATTGTTCTAAGAAATTGATATTGCTGAATTTCATTTCTACAGGTAAGTACGTGTGGAGCTAAGATTTTTCTTGAATTTCACTAACGAATACTTTCATTTACTTTCCTCTGACGGATACTAATGAAACAAAATTGTTCTTTTGCTTTTAAAAAATGAAAATTCAAGTCATTTTTTAGATACAGTTGATAAGTTAGAAGACTTTTGGAAAACATGAGCCATAAGAAGTTAAAACAAGATATTACCGATTACTTTGTTGGTAATCCTCTTTAATTTGTGCAATGAAACAATTTTTTTCAATTAGTTACTTTTAAGTATTTTTTTATTTGTTTCAAGAGAATTTTTTTAAAAAAAAGATAGAGCAACGAAAGTAAGTACATTTTTTATTTAAATTTATCTGAACTAAAATATTTTTTTACCTTCCTTTTAACTTCATTTCATTTTTTGAAGTAATTGGTTGCATTTATTATGAGATTTAAAGAAATTATTTGATATTAAGCGGAAATAAAAACTAAAAATATATAAAATATATATTATAGTACATTTATACTTATATGTTTCATACATAAATAAATATGAAATCAAATCAATATTAATTTACATATTCACGATAGGGACATAACGAAAAGCTTTTACTTTTTCAAAAAACTAGTTTTATAGACGTTTTTATTATGACACAGCAATTAAGAGGGCTTCTATTAGACTTTAATCTTCACTTCTTCTTGAAAATAGAGTAATTGGAAAACTGAAATGTTAAGCTTTAAAATTTTCCTTCAAAAATTAAATTTTTTTTTTGCTTTTGTGTATAATCTTTGTTTTTTATAGGTGTTTTTATAATAGCGCTGCATTCTTAAAAAGGTTTCTGATAGATATTATCACTTTTAATGTTTTATGCATAATTTTTTTGCAGAAAATACTATTTTTAGCATTAAAGTTTTGTTTTAAGAACTAAGAGGATATTTTTTTTTCAACTTTAGCTTCTCTTTTTTAGTTTAAATATTTTTAATTATCTTAGTATCTAATTATCTTTATTTGCTTAAACATTTCTATTAAAGCTTTTTCCCTTTACCCCATACCAATAATACAGCTAAGTTTTGATTATTTTTTAATAATGACTAAACTTATTCCAATATAAAAAATATTTATTAATGTTTATTACTTCTTTCAAAAAAAATATTGCTATTTGGTCAATTTTCTTTGCCTGAATATTCGGCTATTTGGGCTTATCACTATTTGATACATTTCTAATTCATAAAAAGAGATTTAAGAATAGAAAATGCTGATCAATAACAGACCTAGATGATAGAAAACGTGTATTGTATGATTTTCCTCAAAATAATTTCTGAACTGATAACGTGAACTACTTTCAGCATGAACAAATTTCTCCCTTCGAGTTGAAATTAACGAGGTTTGACTGTATATACATAAAATTTGTGAATAGCAGAAAATAGAACTACAAGTATGCTATGAAGCTCAGTAAATAACAGTTTTCTTCTTTCTTTCTTTTTCTTCTTAAATTTAAGATAAGTTAATTTAAACTAAGAAGCAATGCATAGCTGAATAAAATTTTGATACAGTGTTAACATTAACTTGTGCAAAACAAAATACATATCTAATATTTCTTTTTAAACATAAACATTACACGTAAATTTATGGACATAAATACAAAATTTAGATAACATAACACTTATGCATTAAATTCTTATTTACCTATTTTAAAATGGACAGCACCTTGAAGATCTCCTACATTTATCCAACCACTTCTTTTTTCAATCTAAAATATGATCACAGTTTGTTAAGTAAATTGCTTTCATTAACTATAAAAAAAAAAAAAGAATGGACAGAAAATTAACTTTTTAAAATATCAACTTAAATATAAAAAAAACTTAACTTAGCAATTTGTTTCCTTTTGGCTTTAGTGCTTTTGTAAATAATGAACTTAGGGAACAAGCTTTTCATTGAGCATAACAATAACTTTTATATAATTTACCACTAATATTGCAAACACAAGGAAAAATGGTCTAAAATACATTTTTTTAGACCTTAATAAATCTAAATAATCTAAAATACAAATTTAGGTGCAGGTGTAAAATTCATGGTTAATTTATCGATTACTTATCAGTAAAATTGGTTGATTTATCGGTTACCTTTAATAATGAAAAGTAAATTAAATCAAATAAAAATTTATTACATTGTTTAAAATTAAAAGCTAAGTCATAAAATATGCATTAAAAGCTATTTCTTTTCCCTATAGCTAATAAAAAATAATTCTTCAATAACTAAAATATAACGATAATGTATAGATAAAAAACAATCCTGAACTTAGAAGCTAAATATGTGTTAAACTAATAATAGATCTTGAAGACAGCTATTTCTTTGACAGCTATTTCTTTGACAGCTATTTCTTTTCCCTATAGCTAATAAAAAATAATTCTTCAATAACTAAAATATAACGATAATATATATATAAAAAACAATCCTGAACTTAGAAGCTAAATATGTGTTAAACTAATAATAGACGTACTAATACTTACTCCATCAGTTCTTAATATTTTGCTCTTCAGCCATGAGAGGTAATATACGCGTACTCTACATTTTTTGCCAGACACTGTGACAAGAATATTTTGGCCTTCTAGGACTTCCATTTGCTGAAATTTTCTCCTAGATATTAATTGATACACCTTACCTTGACCACTACGGTCAAGAAGCATGAGTCCATTCTCTGTACCAATCAGTAGATTTACTCCTAAGTAACAACAGTTTAAATTAAAAAACAATAAAATAAATTTTATTTTATCTGTTTTACTAAATGTTAACCTGCTCTCAATCCAATTAATATCTGCAAATTACTAATTAATTTTTTTTCTCTTCTATGTTCCACAAAATAATTTATAATTTTATATTATTATGTCATATTAAAAATTTATTGTCTTTGTTTGTTACCCAAGTGGAAACTTAGAAGGATACACAATAAAACACTTTAACATCATGCTACAATAACACGATTGAAAATTTATTAAGTTAATAATGCAAGGTTAACTGTCTACTTTTCAAACTAAAAATAAGCACCACTAAAGACTTTAAAATATAACAAAAAATATATTTCACAATTGAATGCTTGACTTTCAAACAAATGACATGTTTAATTTTTTTTTTCTTTTTTTTTTGCTTGCTTTTGCAACCAGCAGAAACAATCATTGCCTGGTAAATTTTACAGGATTTGAAGTGAAATTATTTAGTTGAAAGTGTACACATTTATTTAAGAAAGTTGAAATAACAAAATCATATTTTAAAATAAAACAATTTAATTTTATAACTATTAATGAAAATATTAACGAAATTATTAACAAAGTTAAACTCATAAAATCTATATCAAAAATATCAATAGTTAAGCCTAGTTTTTAAATTATACAACAACAAAATAACTCCCCTTAAAAGTTTTAAAATAAGTCTAGTTCTTTTCTCTATTTAAAAAAAAAAAAAAAAAAAAAAAAAAAAAAAAAAAAAAAAANAAAAAAAAAAAAAAAAAAAAAAAAGCCAGCAGTTAAAATATGGGCATACATACACATGCAATGTCAATATCAAGGACTCAAGGGCAAGGGATTCGGATAGAAATTTTGATGCTTGAAAAAAAGGATTTTGTTTTAAAAAGAAAATGAACACATTCTGAAGAATGAAATAAGAACTAATAAGCACATTCTAAGTTTTATAGGAACCTTGTAACAGAATTTATGTTTTAGGAATATTTTTGTAATTTACTTTGTTAAATTAATGCTGTGTGTATCAAAAAAGAGAGGGAGAAAATATTTCCAAAAAAAGGCTCGATTCTCACCCCATAAGGCAGCACATAGGATTTCTGAGTTGAATCGTTTTTTGTACTTTCTTATTTCTGGAGTGTCAGCAGACGACTCATGCGATGTTGGCGTAACATTGACATTAACATGGCTCTCTCTCCTTGGAGATGGAGAGGGACCAGTACCACCACCAGCACCAAACCCAAATGTAAGAAAAGAGCGCTGTTTGTGTTGTAGTTGAGGAGGGGCCTTTCCAACAGCTTGCCTATACTATTACGTAAAAGAATAAAATTATTTAATTAGGAAAATGAAACTAAGAGATAAACAGACAATAAAGCAATATAAAAAGCAAACATCAAGAAACTATAAATATTAATTCATGCTGTATTATTTAAAATTAGCACAACAAACAAAGCCAATATTTATTTTAGAAAAAGTGGTGATTTTAGTTTAACATTTAGTGCAATTGCAATAACATATAAAAAAATTTAACACTTACTTCCTGATATATCTGCAATGAAAATTAAGATACTTTTATTATGCTGATTTCTTTAGAATATTTAAAGCAAATGTCAAATTTATACATAAGAAATATGACTTATCATTTCAGTTAAAATAAAAACTTTTTTTAACAAAAGTTATGTAATCAATATATACATAGTTATGTATGTTATAATTAATGCCTAAAACTTGGTTAATTCCCTTTTCAATAACATAACTAATTACTATTAAAAAAGATAACCATACACAAAAATTTTACTGAGACTTTAAACTAGAATATCATACTATATTGTTCCATTTAAAATATGTTATTCATAAATTCCAAAAACAAACAAAAAAAATTATTACAATTCCTATTTAAAATGCATAACTCTCTCTAACAGAAACACATAAAATTTAAGCCAATATTTTATTTCAAAGAAAATCACATATTAATAGTTCATGTGGGTATATTTACTGATAATTAACTTTACAAATTATTAATGTTTCAGTCATAAGAATATCTTAATTAAAATATATATTGAATAAATTAGTTACACATGTCATAATAGAAAAAAAAAATTTTAACATATACTTAATTCTAACTAATCTTTTACAGAGTTGAAGAAATGGGGAAACAGAAAAAAATATTGCTTTAAAAACAAATAAGAATATTTTAAGTGCAATAAATGTATCAAGTAACATATCAACTAGATGTTTCATAATATGAAAAGTATGAAATTTAATATAATTATATAAACTTTCAGCAAGTGAAATGAGATTACTCATACTGGTATAGACTATACGTGTAAGTTATTACTATAATTTCTACATATATTAATAAATTATGTGTAATAAACTTTTTTAAAAATTCCAATTGTCAGTCTATTGTTATCAATCAATAAGTGCCAGTCATTTCCAATTCATTTTAAGTTCAGTCTTTGTCATTTTTATATATTTTTAACTCAATCTTTATCGACCAATAGATTTAAGTTTTATTTGATTCCAATTCACTTTAAGTTCTGTTTTTCTCGTTTTTATATATTTTTAACTCAATCTTTATCAACCAGCAGAACCAAAAATTACTCGACTAGGATTCATTTTTAAAAATGCATGATGGAAAATGTTTGATAATCTGGATAGTTAATAATATGCTTAAAAAATGGAAAATTAATAAGAAAAAATAGAAAGAGAAAAATGATAAAAATAAAAAACTAGACTTATCAAAAGAATGTTATATCAGACTTAAACAATTTAGATGGCAATAAAATTCAAGATATCATTTCCAAAAGTCTAAGAAGCCTTGTAAAGTTATCGCAGATTTTTAAATTAATTTTTATCGCAGATTTTTAAATTAATTACAACATAAATTAACTACAATTTGTTTTCAAATAAAACTATAATCTACATTCATTTGTGTTAAATATTAAAAGACATATCAACTTCCCCAAAGTCAGTAAAGAGTAAAAGACTTGTCTTGCAGACTAGCTAATACATGACTATATTACAAATCAGCTAGTAAAATAACCATTTAATCATGTAATTTCAATCACACTAAATAACTACACTAGTCTCATTTCACAGATTAAATTTCTAAGCGTCACAGTTAAATTTTAAAGGTCCAAAACTTGTTTTTGTCATGATAATTATCAAAAACTAGCTAAAACTGTCAAAAACCTTGGACTGTACAATTATATAAATCACAAGGTAACCAATAAAGTTCTTGCTGCTTTTAATGGATATACTTAAGACTTGACAGATTTATTTTGTAAATCCTAAGAAGTTAGTTCATCCTATCTCTTAATAAAAGAGCCTGCTCAGAAAAAGAATCACTCATTTCTGTTATTTGATAAACAAAATAATGGGGCAGTAGCAAAAAGAAAATGACACCACTGTACTGTCTTCTGCAGTTATGAAGGGAATCCTTATTATGTAAACAGCACTAGATAGGGATAAAAAAAAAACATTATGTTACACAATGTCATAAACGATGACAATGTAAAACTTTCAAATCTGATTCTGAGCATGATGTAGTAAAGGAATAAACAGACACAGGATCCTCACTTAGTAGGAGCATAAATTCTGATTTGTTTAACCCTATGCTCTCCAGTTATGAGAATGACCCAGAAAATAAGGGCATCAATGTCAACATATAATCCTGTTATTGGCACAATTAGAAAAGTGTTTGTAATACTAATAATGCCTCCAGAACCCACTTGCTCAGCCTGTGCATCTTACTTAAGTGGTGCAAATGAAGTCTGCTTCATTTTATTTTGTAACCAGAACAGTCAATTTAAATCCGAAGTTTACAAGCAGACATGTTTATAATTCTGACACATATTCACCTTTGTGGCCTTGTAATTTTGAACCCAATCCAGAAGACAAGGGGACTCCAGGATCAAGCATTTAGACAACCTAGCCTTCAGTGAAGACTTTTTGATGGAATTTATCTGCATCTGTGTTACATGGACATGAAAAATCATTAAGACACCAAAGATTCCAACTTATGATCTGTGTCTACCACTAATGATATTTCATATCAGCACTGTAGTAGGTGCAAGCCGGAGTCAACGCTGCGATTCAAACCTGGATTACCTCATAGAAGGGTGAATGTTCTATCCCCTGAACCACTGTAGCTCGCAACTGTTTCATTTTTATTATATTATTATTGTTATAACTGGTGTTAGACTACTGTCCTTCTTGAGAGGCAGCTTCCAAGGCCTGTGGTTGCTCACATCACAGAGGAAAACATCTCCAGACCCCAATTTTTGAATCCAATGGCATACAGTATGTTTATTCACAGCACTATCCCCTGACACTTGACACATTCGGAGTTTTCATGCAGCTAGTGATAAGCAGTGCATTGTGTACCTGCTTTTATAACAACTAATATTCCTACTTTGAACCGACAGGATTTTTGACCACTTGATACACTAATTCTCACTTCACTCAATGGCAAAGCAAAGACAGCAAGAACTTTATTAGTTACCATATATATATTAAATATTAACTCATGCATGCATTTTAATGTTTAAAAATATGTACATTAAAATATAATAATATAGTTAACAATAATGTTTAAATAGAGATTATAGTTCAAAAGAAACTCTTACTTTAATTTAAAAAATCTATGCTAAAATATAAATTTTAGTCAGTAATTTAATAAAAGAGTTTACAGAAGATCTTTTGCTTATTATACTAGGGTCAATACTAAAAGTTTATTTCTACACATTGGTTATTTCAGATAATAGTGTCACATTATAATAGTGAAAATTTTGCTTTAAATAATTCGAACTATTAACTGTAACAAAAGAGGTATTATTTCTTAATACACTTTTTCTTATAAGTATAGCTATTTAAAATATCAATATTAATGTTATACCAATACATAAAAAATATTCTTAAGGTTTTTGATAGCTTTCACTGTGATGGTTTCACATATAGTTATCTTAAAAAAGCTAAAAGAGTAAAAAAAAAATTTTAAAAAGCAAACTCACTAATAATAATTAAGCCTTACTGTAATTTTAGTAACACAACAGTTATAAAAATCACAAGTAATACCTCATCTGATATCGTTGAGTCTTGAAGCCTATGCTGTGGTGAAGACTGATGACCAGATGTGTTCGAAGCATGCTGCTGCAAGAGGTCAGGTAGAACACCCATGGAACGTGTAGCGGCCATCCCTATATTACCAGGAGAGCTTTGAGAAGATTCCATGCGCTGTCCAGGACCACGATCACAGCCACCGCTTGATGAACTCCGATCCGTTCGCTCCCTATCACTCTAAATAACAAAAGAGCTTACATGTCAGAACTAAAAGCAATTAAAAAGGAGAGAAATTTTAAATCTCTGCGATTTAAAGTATAGCAGGTATCCTTTTAATCATCTACAAGTTTAAGTAGATTTTATTGCTATTACATGAGTAATACTGTTTTACTACACTGTGTTCCATAATTCAAGCAGGAAATAATTTTGATTGAAAACACAAGTTTTAAACCAAAAATTGTAATTTAAAAAAAAAAAAACTAGAATTGTGTGTGTAATAGCGTGTGTGACATTTTAATAGTCTAAACCCTGAACTTTCCACTGTACTGGCATTTTATTTTCAAATATCAGCATTTTATTACCCAAATGACATAAAACTCAAAACATTGGGTGACTTTTAGGACACTCTTTATTACAAACAAATAGCATTTTTTCAGCTAGGAATATAAGTAATATGCAATTTTTAAATTATCAATACATGAATTAAGAGTAACAAACCATGCCACAAAAATTTGACATCCTTCAAACAACTGACAGTAACAAAAATGACTACTAAAACTATTCCCCCAAGAGCTATCTGCTACTCTATTTAAGTGTGCAGGACAGAAACAAGGTCGCAGCTCAGTTTTGATTTAAGTTAAAAACTAAATAATATATTAATGTGTTCAAATAGATTTAAACGTTGATTAATTTTTCATATTTTCTACAAAGGAAACTTTTAAATTCATGAAAGTTACGATTAAATCTGCGTTTGATATAATTACAATTAATTTTTTTTTTAAAAAATTAAGCTGAGGAAAAACTTTTAAAAATATTATTATTTTTATGTTCAGCTTAAAAACAACATACCTCTGCAAACATTAATGCTGATGCACAATAACGTTATCATACATTACAGAATGTTTAATTTAGTCTAAATTGGATGAACAATGAGGTTGCTTAGAGTTTAGCAATCAGCAGTGTCAATCTAATTGGACAGGTTAGAGGGGAGACACCAGACAAAGAAGAACAAGATAGTCCTTCAAGTTAAGAGCTCACAAGGCTAAAGGTCCAACCTCGTGAATTTAATTTTTTTTTTTTTTTTTTAAAAAAAAACAGAAGTTTCTAAAACTACCATGCCACCTTTTTAATTGCTAGGTCACTACATAATCAAATAAATTATTACAAGAAATTAAAAAGTTTCTCAAAGCTCAGTTACACTACATCCTTTGTATAATTAACTCACCATCGATAAGCACATTAGAAAATTTCCTACAGACAAATTAAATTATGTCTCAGCAAATGTTTAATGAAAAAAAAAATTTAAAAAATAAATAAAAAATAAACAACTTTTTTTCTCATTTAGAAAAATGTTGATTAAACCATCAGCTGACAGACAATACAAATTATAATTAAACCTTTTTGAAGCAAAACAATCATGAAAATATAACAAAAATGATAAAAAATAAGCAAATTAAATGCAAAATAACAGAAGAAACGAAACAAAACAAAATAAATGCTGACCTTCGATTCATGCCTGGAATTACTAATTCGTTCTTTTTTATGATTTGATTCTCCATTTTGATTAGGAGTTGAGGTAGCTAAAGGAAAAGGTGATGATGTAGCTTTATGTAAAGGTGAGGATGAAGAGCGATGTTTATCACTACTTTTAGATTTATTAATATCTGAGCGCTCAACAGGACCAGAATCACGCCTCCTTTGATTTTTTTCCAGGTTAATACTTGATCTATCTTTTGCCCTATCCTGCCCCTTACTTTCATTCTCATTCTTCGTTCGTCTGTTATTTTCTTGCCGATTTGAATGATTCTGTAATAATAGCAGTGGTTTAAAAAATAAACAAGTTTTAAACTTAAAGTTAAAAAACCATGCCAAAACAAAGCTAAATTATAAACAAAAATAAACTGATCAAATAATTTTTTTTAAATCAGAAAAAAATACAAACAAATAATTTTAAAAAAAAAATTGGAGTGTAAATAGTTATTATACCTGTAATAAGTAAAATAATATATGTGTGTTTAATATGCCTGTAATGTAACAATATGTAAACTTTATCTGTTGAGCAAGAGACTCTATTAAAATAGCAATTCTCAAGATTAAAAATTTTAATTGCTTCACTTATTTAATATATCCATTCCCATAAGATTTTTATGCAAAACTAATAAAGTTTGTCATCATTGCAGAAACAGAATTATATATTAACATTTAATAGATCTGATAACAAGCATGAAAGTGGACAATAAATAAAAATAAAAAGCTGAACTTTCACAACTCAGACAGTGCGAGATGGAAGACATTGTTCCATGTAATAATGTGATATCAATAAGATATATAAAAACATTACTTCTAACTCTGCGGTGAGAGTTTTATTTTAGATTAAAAAATGGCAGAAGCATTTAGAGAATAAAACTTAAATTTTTTTTTAATATAATTTTAAACGTCTTTGACCACTACTATATTAAAGAAAATTAAGCAATATATAAGGCTAAATAATCGTCATTTTAAATTAAAACAGTCGCTAACTTTCACCTCATCTGATATTTCTGGTAGATAGTTACTAACAGTTTTAGTCACTAACTGTTTCATTTAACCAATAAAACTTGAATTAATTTTTTTTCAGCAGCATCGATCGTACGCACTTTGTGTTTGTTTTACAAATTGATTTCCAGAAATAAAATACATTCATCTTACGATACACCGTGTGATAAAGAAAAGTACACAAAAAGCAAATATGTGCGCGGGCAAATGCAGCAACAGCCAAAAATAAGCACTAGCCAAGTTGAGAAAACAATAATATTCTGATGCGTAAATTCAATATGTGTCGCACCAAGGCAGAAAACCCCGCATCAAACATCAGCGGTCGAAACAAAACTGTTTAGAACTCAACAACCAAGAACCTCATCCTTTTAACTCTACAGCAGAAGTCATGGTTGTCAAGGCAATGGCACACCTGCAGAAGATCAACCCATTTTCTCCTGAGGATCATTCTTTCTCAGGAGGCTACTGCATGGAAAAAAGTTTGTTCCGAGTACGACTATTGTTCGGTCAGCTTAGGTTTCCGCAGTTATGGAGGGGGGGTTCTGTAATAATTTGACCAAAATATTACATTTTTAGAACACTGGCAGAAATTCTACAACTCAGGAGAAAAAATTGGATTTTTCCATTTTTCGCAGAAGTCTTTTATCCCTGTGATAAACTGCAGTATCAAATTTTGGATAACACAAAATATTATCCCTTTATTATATATTCATAAAGTAAAAGCATTTACTGGATTCTTTATTACATCATACAGATTTTGTTTGACAAATTATGAATTATATAAAAAGGCTATAAAGAAAAAAAAATACAGAAATTTTGCTTTCAAATCAAGGGTAAAAGGTTACAAGGCTTTTATTTTTTTTTAATATATCAGATTCTTTTTCTTGCTATAATACAGTAAACTATTAGTAATATCTCAAGTAAAGTATTACTTTTAAATAATTGTAGCACTAGAACTAAAATATTTATATATAAAAAACAACTAAATTTTAAGTGCCAAGTATCAGCTCTTCCTGATGTCATTGGAAAATAATATTCTTTAAAAAGTCCCATAAAAATAAACAAATAATAATAAATAAATGTAATAAAAAATAAATGTTTAAATACAAAAAATAAATGCTTGATAGGTAGGCTGATAATTTACTACAGTGAATAACAATGAAAGTGAATAACAATGAATAACAATGAAGAATAACAGTGTTTACTCTTGATCCACTTCTATATCAAAGGTTTTAAAAAAAATTTCCTACTTCTGAGAAATAAACTGGATGAATTAATGATTAATTAAATTAATGATTTGACCAGATTAAAAAAGAACTCTTACAAGAAAAAAAGCTATTAATCCTAAATCTAAGAGAGCACGAATTCTATCTATGGAAATGCTTATTAACAGCTTTGCAATTAAGACAACAGTGGAAATTATTTTGATTATAAAGTATACCAAAAGAATATCAAGTTTAACAATCAAGTATACAAAACTATTCGTTTTAATTCAATACAATAAAAAATATTGTTGACTTTTATCAAATTAAAACTTGAGCAATCAAACAAAAGAATTTACCCTTCTCAACACTAAAGTTCTGTCATTGTTTTCTTCTTCATCTGGAGTAGGAGGTAAAGGTCTGTGTGGTGCATGATTTACAGGTGTCGAACCTAGTTCACAAAATAGGAAAGCATATTTTAGTTTGTTATGAATCAGTTATTAAGACAAAAACAAAATTAAGGTTTCATACCAAATGCATAATAATTTCATTTGTTTTAGAAAACAGATATGTAAGGAAAACAGATATATTAGGAAAACACTGCTTTATTAGTTCATTATTGGAACAGTTATTAGTAGGAAAGTTATTTATTAGTTTTTAGCAATTTATATTAATTAAAATAGAGAACGTCCAAACAAGCATTGAAATCCATATAGAAACAATTCCATAGCTTTATTTCAATATTTCCTAACATTAGTTGTATGAGTGAAAAACATGTTTTGTAAAAAAAATTTCAACTTTTATAATTATTCCAAATTCTAAATAATTGTATTAAAAAACTAAAATGAAGTAACTCACATTTGTTCCTTTGATAAAACTAGATTTCTAAAAATTCGCACTACATCAATCAAATAATTTTAACTAGCAAAAAGAAATTTTTAAAAAAAATCACCCTAATAAACAAATTTTAAAAAATGCAGATATTAATATTAATAAAGATCAAATAGTTAAAATACTACTTTTATAAAAATATTTCCTATTTATTATCGAAACCATATCAACTCTTGAAACTTACCATCATTTATTTTGTCATGATCAACTAAATTTCTTAAGGCATCATTGTAGACTTCAGGAGGCCTAAAATGGGAATAAAAAGAATATTATGGCAGTTTTAAGAAATCTATGGTCCTGAATGAGAAATTATAAAAAATGCCATTCAACTAAATCTTATAAATTTTCTTTTGTGCTTGTTTGTCATCAGAAACAAAAAAATAACTGAGCAAATCTTTCATTTTAATAATCAGCCCACGACTAATAGCACACAAACTGTGTCAGCAAGCAGCAATGTAATTTTAAATTTTTATTTAAATTTTAGCACTTATGAGTAAAAAAAGTTTTTAAGTATTAGACCTGTTTTATTAAGTAAGTTTCGTACCTTTTATTAAATTTCTGTAAACCAATATCTTTTGGCCATCAATGTAATTGGAATAATGAATTTTTAAGCAGAAATATTTTTTAATTGATGTTATTAATTCTGAAATATGACTGAAAGTTTGTGTTTAGATATACTAATTTAAATATTAGTTCATAAAAATAATAAAGTGAAACAGGACATAATTACTTTTTAAACATCTCTTTTACAACAAAAATATAAAAATTTCAATTAAACAATATTAATTTTCAAAATACAAATTCATAAATACTAAATTTACACATTTGCATGCATTTATGATAAATTAAATTAAATACTTAGTTCGCGAAAAAGTTTAACATTTAAAATTTTAAAAAGAAAACATCAATATATAGCTACAAAATAACACAATATCTAAAGAGAAAATTTTTGCAATATATACATAAATGAATGGATTTGGCATTTAAAAAAAATTTATTTAATAATTATTTTCAAAAGGAAATTGATTATTTTTTAATAATTTTATTAATTTCAGCTGTTACTTAAATACTAATTAAGCATTTGAAATGTGCAGGAATAAAAACTTTTTTTTCCCCTTTTACAATTTTAGAGAAAAAATATTTAATTTTTTGGAGATATTGATAGGTATGGAAACTTAACAATTATTAAATACCCTATCTATAAATTACTAAGTTACTAATTCTACTAATTTTTGCTTATACTCCTTTTCATCAATTTGTTAAAATATAAAATCTTTAAGATTACACGTTTAAACACAATATCTTATCAATTAATTGCAATTATGGTTATAGAAAACAAAGAAAATTTTTCTTTAACTAAATTTAACTACAGTATCATAGCTTACCTTGCTATTCTATTCTCAATGAGGTTGTCAGAGGCCCTTGAAACAAAGCACAAAACAAAAAGGGAGAAAATAACTAAGAGCATTTAAAAAATTTAGAAATACATAAAAAGAAAGAAATAAAATGACATAAATCAGCAACTTAGTACTAAAGCACATATCCCATCAAATAAAAGTTTCAAAAATAAACTAAATAAAAGGCAAACTTTAGGAATGTCAGGAAGGGTTAAAATAGAAAACATGCAAAATATTAGAACCCCAAACTGTTGTCCCTTTAATTATAGCATTACCCAAATGCAAGAATGTGTTTGAAAGTTAAAGCAGAATCCAAAAATATGATGATGCATGCAAAACTAAAGTTAAATAGAAAAATTTTCCTCAATTTTTTGCATAACTTTAACCAAAATTATTACTGTGAAAGTTTTAACACCTTTTCTAAAGTTTGCTTTCATTGAATTGTTCTAAAATTTTATAATTTTACATCAAATAGAACACTAGGATGAAAAAATATACCTATATGTTTCACTTAAAATAAACTAAAATGTTTGAAACATTTTAGCTTTTTGTAAGTAAATGATAGCAAGGAAACTATATGGAAAATCTATTTAGGTTAATTGTATTGTATACTACAATAAAAGGTTTAGTAAACTTGGTAAATTTGAAAGAATTATTAAAACCTAAGAAAAATAATACATTCAAATTAAGGGTCAAAATATTTTTAGATTTGAAATCATGGAAATTATTTTAATGAGTGAGTTTTCAAATAATATATAATATTAATATATAAATACACACTTTTTACGCATAAACAATTTTAAATGAAGACTTAAACAAATATCAAAAAATAAATATAAAATTGGTTGGACACTAAAAATTTATGAAAATGTATAATATTTTGCAATAACTGAATTTTATCCTCAAAAATTTTGAAACTACTCTCTTCTACCATTTCATGAGTAAATTTTAAAAAGTAAATCTCCCTCATCATTACAATAAGAGAAAAACTTGTAGTTTATAAAAATAATTAAAGGCATGCTAAAAGGCAATCTCTGAATTTTTTTTTTCAAAACAAGTAAACTAAAAAAAAAATTTAATTTAAAAAATAACTTGTTTCTATATTTCAAACTGAAAATAATGAGAAAATGAACATTTTAAAGGTACATTTTTCAGAAGAAAAAAAAAGTATTTGTTTAAAAATTAGCTTTAAAATCTAAAATCTTTCAAAAGATATATTGTTATCCCCCCTGAAAAAATCATTATAAAACTTTAACCAGTTGAAAATTATCTTAACAAAGTAAATACTTGTAATAGTAGTAATCATAATTAAACCTACAAATTTTTAAACAGAGAATTCTTTTCAAAATAGAATATGAATAAAAAGGCAGTGTTTTTAAGGAAGGGCGGTTTGCCCTTATTTTTACAATAAGGGCAAAAAAGACGCATTTATTGGGATCAAAGGGGTGTTAAAAAACGCTTAGGGAGAACACTATGTGTATATATATATAACGAGCTTCAATGGCTATCCAAAATACTATCAAAAGTAAGTAGAACATTTTAATCCTAACCAATGAAAATAAAATCCTCTATTACTTAAAAATTTGATACTTTTACTTTTACAAAGACTTAAAATTGTTCTCTTTTCCATAATTTAAAAAGATACTGTTTTAAAAGATAATTATATTTGAAAAGAAAGTATGTATTTTTCTAAACATTAATACTATATAAAGCATAAAAATTACAGTGCTAAGTCCCATACCCGGATATCCGTTTACCGGAAGGGTCTTTCTCAACTTTTACACTTTTTAAAATCAAAATAAACAGAAGTCTTTGTTCCTTATAAAAAAAAAAATTTTTTTTCTCTTCTACATTTGAGACTTGAATAAAAATATGCAAGAAAGAGAATCCTCTGTTTTTCTGCTAATTTCTGCTTATATTTTATTTTTACCAAACTTCCGATTTTTGTTCTATTTTAATCCGATTTTTACTTCAATATTAAAAAAAAATAATTTATATCACGGAAAAGAAATTCATTTCACTACAACATAAAAAAAGTCATGTATTTTTTTCACATTTTGTATAAATGGATTATTTTTCGCCAAGAATCATGCACTTAATTTCAGAGTGCGCAAAAATTTCACAATTTTAAAAAATAGCAGATTTAAGACAAAATTATCACGACTATAGTAGGTCATTAATTGATCATTCAAAAGACAGATTCGAAATTTGCGGATCGTAATAATGTTCTATTAAAATTGAAATTAACATTGTGGAAATCCCAAACCATTGAAATAATGGTCGACAAAACTACAGGGAGAAAAAAAATTCGCAAATCAAGTCATCAAAAAGTAATTCTACAAATGAGCGATTGAAAGTTTACCGTGTATGATAATGTAGCATTAAAAAATCATGAAAATTGGTAACAATAACTGACAAAAATACGATAGTAAATCAACGTGAGATTGCTGGTGAATCATCAATAATTGAGTGCGAAATGCGCAGTTCGATGTTTGCTGATTAAATGATGTTGCATTAAAACATTGAGATTTTAAAAACAAACTAAAAATCCATTTTAATAGCTACCGAAAAACGAACGGCAAAACATGAATTCACAATGGAATCGTCCCTAATCGAGTAGATTGAGAAATGATTACTAACCAAAATGCATGATTCAGAATTTGTATCAAGATTTTAAAAACCACACGGAAATAGGTAACAAAATCTTTTGAAATAGCACAAACACGCAAACCACATGGATTCATTCGTTATTTATTAAAATTAACATTCATTGTATTTGTTATTTTTGTTGAATTAGGAGGTTTTCATATTTGTTTCCCTTAAAGCCCTTATATCCAGAAAAATCTTTTTTCTCGACTTGCCTAAGTCTTGCCGATTCCAATTAACATTCATTATCATGTATTTGTTATTTTTATTGATTTAGGAGGTTTTCATATTTGTTTCCCTTAAAGCCCTTATATCCAGAAAAATCTATTTTCTCGACTTGCCTACGTCTTGCCGATTCCGAATATGAAACTTTCCACTGTACATTTTTTATAATAATAAGACTATTTTAACACATATATACTAACCACTACTATCCAATCTGCAAAATGTACTCTATTATTTAATTCAAATTTCAAGTATATTTTTAGATTTAGTAATTTAACACCTTTAACAAGTTAGTTAATGTTTCTATTGATTCTAGTTAACAAGTTAACATTACTACAACACTACTATATAAAACTGAAACTATTCAACTTACTATTTAATTTACTATTAAATAAAAGATGACTATTAAAATAATCAAACTAATTTTTTCAGCTTACAAAACAATTGAAGGAAAACTAAAAAGTTCAATTTAATGTCTTACAGAGGTCTGGGTGGATCAGATGCCAGCAGAGTGCCATCATTTTGAATTTGACCTTCATCTTCCTCCTCCTCCTCTTCTTCTGAATCGGATCCATTTCTTACACCCCCAGATTTATCAGAAAGTATTCCATTAATTCCAGGGGGTGTTTCTACTGAATTTGAAGAAAGTCTACTATTGTTATTATTTTGATTTGATACACTACCGGCACCACCTATTGCAAGTTCATTTAACTGGGCAGCTAAAATTTCCAATTCCTGCAATGACAAATCAGTAAATAAATTAATATCCAAAGAATCCGAACACAGTATATGCAAACATGGCAAACACTTAAGAGAAAAACAGCAGAGTTAATTTTAAGCAAATTGTGGTTGATAATTTTCTTAATGAAACAAATCTACAGTTTTTGGAAGAACAACAAATAAATGAGAAGACAGTCAGGACAATAACAAATAGAAAAATTTAATAAATAGCTGAAATTTATATTGATTTTAAACCAATAACTTTAGCTATTTCAACAAATAGAGTAATAAAAATGGAAAAATGCTCAGCTTCTGATAAAGGTTTGAAATAATTTAAACAGAGTAGAACTAAAATTATTAAGATAACAAATTACCAGGATTATCAACAATTACTTCGATTGTAGTACAAGAGAGAAAATGAATAATAGGTGGTTACAAAACTTCCAAGGCAGGGAGCAACACAAGTGAATTTGATTTTAAAAATGAAAAAAAAAAAAGATCAATAGAAACATTAAATTAACATTCAACTGCTGTTGCACGGTACCTCAGAATAGGATTTTTATCCATAAATATTTTTTCAAAAGAAAACTCTGGTTTCTTTAAATTTGTAAAGCCAAATATTATATCTTGTAAGCAAAAAAAATATCACTGAATGAGGATGGAAACATGTCAATTTGACAAAAATGTAAAATTTTTACAACAAATATATATATATAATAGATGTTAGAATTATTTAACTCTTATCTCAATAAATGATTACTCTTACTGACAATTCTAAGACTGGTTATTTTCCAGGTATGATATAGGAGTTTTTTAAGTTTTTGTAAAAAAAAAAAAAAAAANAAAAAAAAAAAAGGCAACTATTTTTCTACTCCCTGCCTTTCATAGTCAAAACAAAATTCCTGGACAATTCCAGGTTTTCTCTGTTCTCCCTGACCCTTGGGAGCCCTGTTTATAGTAGTTTAAAAAAACAGAAACACCTTCTAAACATTTTTAAATACATCACAATAAATATTAACAATCTAAAAAAAAAATTCTAAAATTAAAAACATTTATACTTCTGGTCTTCTTGCAGGAGGTTTAAAAACACCAGAACTTCTACTTTGCTGAGATGATTGAAAAGGAGTTCCTTGATTTTGATTGTTCCTAGGAGGAGTGGCTGCTTTGGCTTTTCTATTTTGATCAACAGGAATAGGTGGCAAAGGTTTACTAGGAGGTGGAGGATCAGGAACAACTATAAAGACATAACATTTATTAGTTATCAAAGAATGAAAACTAATAACAAAATGTTGTATGAGTTCTATTAAAGCTTTGAGTTAAATTGCTTCTTTTGTGCATAAAAAAGGAATGTTACTTTTTTTTGCTCTAAACTGTCTTTTTTAATGTTAATAACAGTGAATTAAATTTCATTGGAACAATAAAGATCATGTTACGAAGCTTAAAAGTACAGGGTAAGCATAAATAAAATACCACTTTGTGATGTTTGCATTAACAGGATAAAAAGTTTTTTGTAAAATCTGTTTTTTATTTAAATAATTATAAGTTAGGTAATTTTGATTATAATTTTAATCATAATCTACCTAGGTGTCCTAAAAATGCAAGATTGACTTCAAATAAAAACTCAAGCTCTTGCAATAAAAATTTGATTAATAAAAATATAACTGTACTTAATTAAAAACTCTTTGGCAGGTTTTACAAGCTCTAGTGTTTCTCATTAGAAAAGTTGCTTCACATTTCTGTCTTTATTAAAAGCACATTAGTATAGTATACTCTCAAAACAAGTTGAATGAACAAATTAAATTAAATCAATTTAACTAAATTACATCAGAATTAAAGACAAATTTTTTTGGATTCTTTTTTAATTACAATAATTTGTTATAATTCAATTTGTTTTAATGTAATTTAATCAGTTGTTTGGAATTTCTTCAATAGAAATAATTTATAGTTATTTTGCTTGCAAAATTATAGATGTCGTACAGTAAATTTAAAAAAACAATCCATCATTCAAAAAAGTGGCAAAATAATTCTAATTTTAAAGAACAATAATGTATAGTTCTAAAAACAATTAAAGAAAGCCTTTATAAATTACCAATAAGCCTTTGTGGTGGTACAGAATGCCTAGGAGGAGGGGCAGGCATTTCAATTTGAAGAGGTGGTGCAGAAGGAGGTTGAAAACTGCTTCCTGGAGTCCTAGACTCATTGGTAGTCAAAGTTCGACCCTCCTGAAGCTGTTGAAAGTTCCTCCTCAATGTGGAATCTTGCTGCACTGGCTCAATTGAACTGTAAAATACCCAGTTAAATTAATGTAAAATGATAATTATAGAATTCAATCTTTACAGGAAAAGTTATTCAAATATACATGAAAGTTTTCAAGTTAATAAAAAAAAAATAATGTTCCGTAGGTAAATTCATCAAAATAAGTTATACACTAAAAAATTAACATTTATTATACATAATAAAATAGGTAAGTCAGTATTTATTATTTTCTGCTATGGAGCTTTATTAGCGATTAGTTCATTATTTCAAAGCAATGGTGATTGAAAAAAAAGTTGTGGTGTGCTTAAATAAAAAATACTTAGTGCAAAAAGTTACTGGTCTTTTATTATTATTGGTCTGTAAAAGATTTCCAAGTTATTGGTTTGAAGTCTAACACTGTAGGAACACCAGAAGGAAATTATTGAAACTATTAAGATTGGTTGACAAGCTTTAACAACATTAATTTATTGTATTATTCAATATTAGAAAGATTTAAAGAAATCAACATCTTGGCAAAGAATATTGTAATTAAAGCCATGTGACTGGAAACCATTAAAAATAATTTACAATTTTTTTCAAAGGAAGCTTAATATATAAAAAGCAATCCAGGGATCACACAAAGCTTTAATCTAAAACAGAAGCAGAAGAGCTAGAATTTTTTTTTTATTACATTTAATAAACTTAATTTTAGATATTATAAAAGAGGAAATGAATAAATAAAAAATTAAAAAAATAAAGCTTTAAAGTAATTTGGATAGTAACGGATGAAATGAATATTTAGGTCAAGGATAAATTTAATTTTATAGAGGAAATTAACAGTTGTATTAAAGAGTGGCTTTGCTTGAATAAAGAGAAACCTGCTGATACAGCAAAAAATGATAAGTGTGTTTCATTTGTAATGTTATACTTATAATTCAGTAAAGCAGCTGCTTCATTGAATGACAGGATATCGATGGACCCATTGTGGTCTAACCTTACAGGGTCTAGTAAAATACATTGCAGAAGCATAAATGCTTTCCCACTCATCGATACAATGCATTTATTTCGGCTTTGACGTAACAATATTGTTTATGGAAACATGTCGGAGGAGCAACCCTGTATTCCATCAAATTGTACTGATATTTTTTTCCTCTTTGCATTTGCTTCTATTCTTTGTCTTGTATTTTACTAAAAAATCAATACCAGTTAAAATTGATATGCATCTTTTTTTTTGAACTTATAATCCAGTTTTTAAAAAATAAATAACATAATTACAAACAATATAATTATTTTATTATACCACGAATAAAACTTTTTTATTTACCATTTTAACAATTATTCTCGTTTTATAAACATGGATAATATTGCTACTAGCATGTGTTTTTAACAAAATTTAAATAATGTAGATTAAATAGTTTGCTTTGAAAAACTGTTACAAAAAAATTTTTATTTTCGTCCACTTCCTCAAATTCTTCATACAAGGTTTGAATAATTTTGATATAAAAAAAATCGCAATTCACTGCAGTTAGCAGCAACTTCAGTTTTTCTCAGAATACGTAAATAATATCAGACAAATGATAAAAATATCCTCCAAACCATCTGATAATGATATAATTGTTACATCATGCTGTTACCCGATTTGATCGGTGGCATGTGGTATGATATAAAAAACGTTGTAGGACCTTACATTACCTCTATTATCTCCTTGAAAAATAGATTTTCTTTAAGCTTATTAATTTCTTTGTAGAAAACTTACTTGATGAAGATTAATTCAGATTGTTAAGATTCTACTACATTTTATAAGTATGTTAAACATTTTTACACACCTTGGCTCTCCAGCTAAGCCTACTTCTTCTTCCTCACCTTCACTGCCACTGTATCTATATTCTTCCTGAATATCTCCTAAATATAAAGATTAGCATTACTTAACATTATATAAATCAAGGTACCAAAAAAGGTATAAAAATAAAAGCAAAAAAAATCAAAGCAAACTAAATGAAACTAAGCAGCAGATTTTTTTAGCACCTTTACCTCCCCTCTTGTGCTTTCGACATCGATCAATGTGATCTTTAAGTTGTATACGGACTTGCCTTTCTGTGGGCTGGTCACGAATGAAAGGATGCTTCAGCAGTTGATCGGTGTATGGCCTTTGTTGATAATCTTTAACTAATACAGTTTCTATAAAACTATGAAATTTTTTATTCCATTTTTTAGATTTTAATCTGGGTGGAGGATTTCTTGGAATGAGGAACAATGCCCGCATGGGATGCATATCACATAAAGCTATATAAAAAAAAAGTAAAACATTAAAAGAAAATATTCATAGTATAAGGACTAGATTAGTAACTAGATCGGACAGTAAAATAAAAACATACGTGGTTGAGATTCACACATTTCTAAAGCAGTAATTCCTAATGACCATAAGTCACTCTAAAAAAAAAAATATGATTAAGAATACATGTCAGATACACAACAATTAAAAAGAAAATACAGCTGGAAATATTATCCCAATATCTAGCTTCCATTACAGTTCAATTTTATAATTAGGGCAGAGACATTTTATAAGAAAATTTTATTTTTATTAGAAAAAGGTTATGTAAGGTACATCTCCATAAAAACTTAAATTAAAATTGAATTCACGAGTCTCAAAAACAGGTGAATAGAGTATCTGTTTTTGAACGTACTGGATTTAGAAGTTCATAGGATGCTTTTTGTTTAAAAAAGAAGCACGATTGATTCATATTAGCAGTTGGTGCAAATGATGGCTATAGTTGTCATCAGAGTGTGTATCATTTCAAACAAAAATCTTTTTCAGTGGATCTATTAATTACTTCTTTTTAAAAACCAACTCCTATTCCTAAATATCAGATTCATTGAAAAAATTGTTTCTCAACTAGTTAGTTCAAAAATCTATGAAAATCATCAAATTCCGAATAAGGGTCACAAAATCAAGACCAGCAAACACTTTAGTCCTTCACATATCAATTGCTGTTGCAGTTAATTAACGTCGCACTAGAGCTGCACAATGGGGTATTGGTGACGTCTGGGAAACATCCCCGAGGATGATCCGAAGACAAGCCATCACAATCTTGATCCTCTGCAGAGGGGATGGCACCCCCTCTTTGGTAGCCCGACAACCTGCACGCAAAGTCAAGCACTTTACGGTAGAACAGTTTAACGAGGACCAATACTACACACTCNATTTTAGAACTTAAAATAAATCACACTGACAGCAGCCAGTGATGCTTGACTTCGGTGATCTGCTGGGAACCGTGTTTTAATCATCAGTCTACTGCAATTGGAAGAGAACATAGAATGTTGTGATGGGAAAATGAAGGGTATAAACGTAGAGTTTTCATGAAAAAACTGGGACAAAATGTGATACTTATTACTTCTAAATGTACAACTGATACTAAATTTCAGATGGCTGTCATAAACAAAAGTGTGCAAAATAAAAGTGTGCTTCAACACGTTCATTTGAATCTTAAGAAAAAAAAGTAAACAAAATTTACTTAATTACTGTTTAAAAAAAAAATTTTTAGAACTACATATAGGTACAATTTATTTAAAACATGACAAAATGCTGATATTGAAAATTTATAATTGATACCAATAATACTTGGATGATATCGACAACACTAAAAAAGCAATAGGAAAAAAAGATTTTAAAATTGCTTTTTAAAGAAAAAAAACTGCAAGGGGAAAAACTTTAAGCTACATTTGCAATTATATCAAATTTAAAATATCTTAAGGGACTAAGTTTGAGTATTTTATAAAGGTTTAATGAAATTATTAAAAATTAGGAATTATTAAAAATCATCATAGTATTTACAAAATTTCATATTTTTATTTTTTTAAAGGTTTAAAAAGTAACTTCTACCTTAAAACTTTAATAATTTAATACTAAATCAATCATAAATAAGATTTCAAGATCAGAATAATTCTATAAATAAGTCCATTTTTTTCTTTACTACAACAGAGTTTTTATTCAAAAAATATAATAAAATCAAATTTTGGCAATATTCAATCTTCAATAGACTATGAAAAGTTATAGGTTAACACAAAAAAATATGTATATACTATAAAGAAAAATTGTATTTATTTCTAGCGAATGGTTAAATGCTATAACGTATCACCAAAAAATTTAAAATAAGTTACTCAACCTAAAGGAAATGTTTACTTAAAAACAGAAGACAATTGCAACTCTTACCCTATTGTCATAGGTAGCTTCAGGGTTCTCATCACAGGCTATGACTTCTGGCGCCATCCTACAAAATATTAACGTCAATAGTAAATATAATACAACAGCACTTAAATATTACAAACTAATAGAACTTATCTAAGGTGCTGACCAATATGGAGTGCCAATAAACGTATTTCTCCGTCCTATCGTCCTATCTAGCTGTGCACTAACACCAAAGTCAACTACAAGAGAAATAAAGTTTTATTACCTAAAACCATAATGCAATACAGGACTAAATACAACTATATAGCAATAGACATCTAATAAAAATAAGAAATCAAAATATAAAATTATCCAAGCTAAGAAAAATAAATAAACTTAGAACAAATTGAAATACATCTATGATTCTGCAAAGATAAGTGTGTAGCATAAATAAGCCCCTCATTAGAATAGATGTACATCTCATCTGCAAGTTTGTCAATGCAGTCTTCTTATATCATCAAGAATTGTGCATAATTTCAAAACAAATGGCAATGTAATTGTTAGCGCTGTTGGCGATTTTGAGTTCAGCTGGCATCAGCAACCCAATTTCATGCTCACTTTTCACTTTGCTCTCTTGTTCATCGTTATTCCTTTATAAAATTTCCATTATTGATCGTATTATTAAATATTGTCCTATGGTTCATAATAACCATGTTTTGGAATTTCAGGATTCATTTGGAATCATTGATTAGATTAAGTGTTTTTGATATTGTTATTTTTGTTTTCAATAAAAGCTGCTGTTATTGTTTATGAGCTATTTCCTTCAGTTATATCAATTGTTACCAATGGCTAATTACTTATTAAGGTACGTTGGACCCTAACTGGTAACCTTAACTGGTTCGTTATTTACTAAATGCAGATTTCAAAAAACTACTACTTATTAACAGTAGTTTTTGTGCAAATTACTAGAAAATGACAAAGTAAAATGTTAAAGCATTCAATTAGAAATATTCCCTCAGTTTTGTTTCCTAGTAATACAGTTTTGTTTCTTAGTAATAGTAAGTTTCCTAGTAAGAAAATGACAAAGTAAAATGTTAAAGCATTCAATTAGAAATATTCCCTCAGTTTTGTTTCCTAGTAATACAATTTGAATAATTTATTCTTTGTACCAAAATTGATTCCTTTACAAAGAATTGACACTCTGTTGACATCTAATTCAAATAATGCTTGGATTACCATAAAATTGAAGATTTTACGTAGTAAATCAGACAAAGAAATTGGTAGGATACAAAATATAAAACACAGTTAAAAGATGACTAGATTATTTTTTAATGGGAGAATAAGTCGAAAGCAACAATATGACTACAAAGTATATTTGTCAAAGTATCCATGACAACATTAAAATTCTAAATTGAACAAGTTCTCAAAACAATATCAATCTAAACTGTCATACATACCTAGTTTAACTTCTGCATTATCAGTTAGAAGAACATTTTGGCCTTTAATGTCTCTGTGGATTATTTTATTGGCATGTAGATGACTAAGACCCTAAAAATATTGCAAATACAATTTTCATTATTGTTACATCAATTAGAGCAATGAAATAAAAATACAGTCAATTCGCTATAACTCGAATATTACTATAACTCGATTTTTTTATGAGGTCCCGACCCTTTTATCTTCAATTTCATGTTAATTATTCTCGATTACTCGAATTTTACTCCCTTTAACTCGATTTTTTTTGGATCTTTNAGTAATAGTAAGTTTCCTAGTAAGAAAATGACAAAGTAAAATGTTAAAGCATTCAATTAGAAATATTCCCTCAGTTTTGTTTCCTAGTAATAGTAAGTTTCCTAGTAAGAAAATGACAAAGTAAAATGTTAAAGCATTCAATTAGAAATATTCCCTCAGTTTTGTTTCCTAGTAATAGTAAGTTTCCTAGTAAGAAAACGACAAAGTAAAATGTTAAAGCATTCAATTAGAAATATTCCCTCAGTTTTGTTTCCTAGTAATAGTAAGTTTCCTAGTAAGAAAACGACAAAGTAAAATGTTAAAGCATTCAATTAGAAATATTCCCTCAGTTTTGTTTCCTAGTAATACAGTTTTGTTTCCTAGTAATAGTAAGTTTCCTAGTACAAAATATAAAACACAGGTGAAAGATGACTAGATTATTTTTTAAATGGGAGAATAATTCGAAAATAACAATATGACTACAAAGTATATTTGTCAAAGTATCCATGACAACATTTAAATTCTAAATTGAACAAGTTCTCAAAACAATATCAATCTAAAATTTCATACATACCTAGCTTAACTTCTGCATTATCAGTTAGAAGAACATTTTGGCCTTTAATGTCTCTGTGGATTATTTTATTGGCATGTAGATGACTAAGACCCTAAAAATATTGCAAATAGAATTATTATTGTTACATCAATTGGAGAGATGAAACAAAAATACATTAAAATTTCACAAATTTATAAATCCGAAAAATTTAAAACTTTTCATTGAAACAGTAATAAATAATTGTGAGTGCTAATATATTTAAAGGCAATCATCATTTTGTCTCACTTACCCTCAAGATTTCTCGACAAATGTAAGCTATCCATTCTTCTTTCAGAGAATGTCCTTTGGTAGCTAGAATGTAAAAGATTAATTAGTAACTATGATAAATTAAAACAGGAAATGTATTACAGAAAATACCTAACAACTCAAAACATGAAGAAAAAAAACAGTAAATGAAAAACCTGTGAAACTATTTTGCACAAAAAGAGAACATTTAAATTTTGTTGCATACAGACCACAGACCTACCTGAATAACTTTTGATCTAATGATTAGATCTTCACGTTTTAGGACTCGTTCCTACTTGTTCAAGGGGATGGTTTCACAAATGCTAATTAATTTGTGCAAACTATATTTTATGTTAGGAAATCAGACACAAAACTCGTTTTCCCTGAATAAACATACCTTTTCTTCAACAGATTCGGATTTCAGACCCCAAAAATACTGCAACATGGGAAATATGATTTCCAAAGTTTGGATGAGAGTGGTCCAAAGTTCGGACCCCTTTAGGTTAGTTCTAATTTGTGCATATTTTGCCATATCTTGGGAACTTTTTAAGAGAACAGAAAAATTTTCACATACAATTATAAAATTCGTTTAGTGAAAGATAGTTTAATGCAGAAAATAACTTTTAGTAAATATTTATTATTTTCTATTATTTTAGTTAATTATAGTCGAAAAATTTTGAATTGTAAGGTATACAATTTTTTACCTCACTTCAAAGAATGCAATTTTACATAGCAAAATTTGAGCAGAATCGGTCAAATAGTTCCTGAGGAAAGATATTTTAAAAAATAGTATGACTTCTTTAAAATTCAATTTCTCTTGAACTATTTGACTTATTCCGCTGAAACTTTGCATTTTGCGAAAATTACATTCTTTAAAATAATGTAACAAATGTTATGGCTTACAATTCAAAAAATTTCTACTATAATTAAATAATAAAAAATAATAAATGTACACTAAATGTTATTTTTTGCATGAAATTATCTTTGGATAAACGAATTTTATAATTGTGTGCAAATATTTTTCAATTCCCTTAGAAAATTCTTGAGTTATGGTGAAATATGCAAAGAGTAAAATTAACATTAAGGGGTCTGAACTTTGGACCACTCTACTGATCAAACTATTGCGACCATGTTTTGGGCATCAGAAATCCAAATCCGTCGAAAAAAGGGTATGTTTATTCAGAGAAAAAAATTTTTGTGTCTGATTTTGTAGCTTAGAATACAGCTTGTCCTAATTAATTAACATATTGGAGAATGTAGCATATTGGAGCATATCCCATGAACCATTAAAATTGAGTCCTAGAATGTGAAGATTCAATTTTTAGATCAAAAAATAATTCCCAATGGTCCATTTTTAATTTTGCGTACTGCCTGCACATTGTCAGTCCAGCAAACTTTAAAGCTTTATATATAAATGTTGATTAAAGATAATAAAATAATAATAAAGTTTACAAATTTAATTTCTTCTATGGTTCAGAACGCCAAAAATCTCACAAATGGTCAGAAGAATCTCATATATGTGCATAAATATACAGGGTAGTTATTATTATAACAGCTCTGTTATGACCAACATAGTGACAGTTTTAATGGATAGATGTAATGGACGATGGGGAAAAGAAATTCCCAAGAAAATATTTAACCACTAAGCCTTTTGCTCTTTTAATTTTTGTTTAAAAAAAAAATCTTTCTTCACAATGACGTTACAAGAAAGAAAGAACTTAAATGAAATGTTACTGAATACGAGCATAACAATTCATAAGAAACTCTTCATGTTATAGAACATCTTTAGAAACTCATAACACAGAACATGTGCTTGAACAAAATGGAATCCACACTGAACATATGCTTTGATTAAATAATGTTTTGCACCTCCAAATTATATTGTTGATTCTTTACATGTACCCTCATTCACCTGCTTGTTGAAGTTTGAACAGATTTTTTTCACTACTAATTTCTTTATTTCACATTCCAAATTTCATACAAACTCACTTAAAAGAAAAAGAACTTCTTGTATATGTATCTTTATAAGAAAAGAACTTGTTTTAAAGGTAGCTTTAATAATCACCCAATATTTAACACAACTGCATAAATATGGTGAAAGGTAAATTAACTTAAAAGATAATAAAGAGAATAAGATTTATTAGTTGAAGACGATAAGACATCATAGTTTAAAGCCTCGTTGAGTCTTAAAGCCGAAAAACATATCCCTAGAGCCTTTATCAATATTTAAGCTTTAGATTGGCAAAATTTTATTGCTGTCATTTAAGAAATTAGTATGTTCGATCATAGTTATTGTCCATTAATTATTATTAATATAAATAAGAATTCAATTTCAATAAAAAAAATATTATAAAGATGAATTTTGAAGATATAAAGATTTTTTTTCTTTACATCTTCAAAAGAAAAAAAAATTGCACATAGCAAGCTTAACTATTCTCATACAAGTTCTTAAGAATTAAATAAAGCTAGTAAAAGCAAGTAAAAGCAAACTAATGCCAGACTATATTAAAATGCAGCAGTAATTAAGTGTTTGGTCTTCTGTGTATGTTGCCTTGTTTTCACTTTGCAGATTGATGATTATCATACATATTAATCTCATTTATCCTATTTCATTGATTATTAACCACATTTTAAATAATACTATACTATCTATATATAAACTAATATCAATCCATATGTGTAATACAATCTTTTTCCGGAAATGGGAAAAAAATTCTCTTCTTCCCAGATCGCCTATTGCACTTTTTACAAAATCAATAAACAGTTTTACTAAGAAAAAATGTAATAACAAAAAGATCCTTCTTTAGCGTAAATATAAGAAAAAGTATTACATGCCTATTAAACTTACTAAGTTAAGGAGGCATCAATGAATTTTATTAAAACTGCATGTAACTAAATTTCCTTTTTTTAAAAAATTCTCATTAATATGGCATAATCAAATAAATAATAATAATACTTAACATTATAAAATATTAAACCAGAGCTCATTCTAGGCAGGGTTAACAGGGCGCAACACCCTGCTGCCCTTTTAGTCAAAATAATCCACCCTGTTGCCCCTGAAGTAAATTAGTGCCCTGATATAATAAGACTCCATACCCTTTTTGCGCTTTTTTTTCCTCAACCCTTCTTTGTTTTTTCCCCAAACTCTACAATGGATTTCTTAAATTTTTGTTATTTTCAACTCTTTTTATTTAGTTTGTCATTGCTGTCAATACATAGATTTATATTGGAAAGGAAAAATAGCCATCACACCCCCTTGTTGCACTTGTCTTTGAAAGTTTGCAGTTACTTCCACTATCATTAAATCATAATTATTTAGAACGTGTAAAGACCATAGAAAGAAATTATTGCCTCTTTAGAATAATAATGCCCTTTTTTTAAACTTATGCACCCTGCCCTTTTTTCTGCCTAGAATGAGGTCTGATTAAACCTTTGTATGAATAAAAAATGTAAACGCCGTGTAAAATCTAATATTAAATGAATGTACCAGTATAATTAAAGATCCTTTGATACTACATCAACAAATTTTAAAAAATATATATTTTTATGTAGCTAAGGCTATGCAAGGTGTTTCTTAATCAACGCATCTGATCTAAATTTTTAGAATCCTCCTCGAATATTAAATAAAAATACAACAAATAAATATTTAAACTAAGAAAAAACATTAAAATCTGATAAATCTTTTATACGTAATACTACAGTAGGGAACCGATTATCCGGAACGATCGGGACCATCGCTATTCCGCATAACTGATTTTTCCGGTTTTCTGAATCGCTACAAAAAGCCGTTTTTTTATTGTTAAACCCAACTAAAAAAAAAAAATATTTGGAAATAATCTTAAAAAGAAGAAAAAACGATGAAGTAATACAGTAATGATTATTTCTAAAATGATGGTATGGTAAACACCTTTTTCCAAAAAAGAAAGAAAGATCCTAAAATCTTATGAGGAAAAAAATTAATTTTTTTAAAAATGGCAGAAAATTTATCGAATTTCGTTCCGGTTTTTTGGCTTTCCGGTTTTCTGATTTCCGGATAACTGGTTCTGCACTGTATAAACAATAAAATCATTTGATTGCCAACAGAGTAGATTTTCATAAGATAATCAAACTGATTTTGATGTTTAGAGTCTAGTCTATCTCAATAGTGATTTGTTTAATTTTGAAAGCTTTTTAGTTTTTCCTCACTTAAAAATTTTACGATTTTTAATTCCTTATGTGTATGTTTTTTTAGTTTCATTGCTTATGAGGATTCTAAAAACAGGTAAAGACAATACTTACAGAACACTCTGCATGCAATACAATGAAAATTAAAGTTCCTTGTTTATATTTTTAAAATTAAATTTAATAAAGCTGAAGCTTATTGTCTTGTTTCTGTGAGATAAACAAAAAGGTTGTTGGTTTAAATATTTTTTTACTTATTAAAAAAAAAGCTTGCAAAAAAGCATTGTTGTTGCAGAAAAAATTTCATCATTTGTCAGAAGATTGAACGCACAATCTGCTAAAATTAAAATTCTAATTCTAATTTATAAATCCATAAAAAACGGACATGTGTATGGTAAATTGGTGAACATTTTTAAAAACTTACAAATATATAGGTATTTTGCTTACATTTTACTAGATCAGTGACAGAGCCAGCTCCACAATATTCCATGACAAGCTAAAAAAATAAATAATTAATTAGAAAATGTGTTGAAAGTACTTAATATTCATAATAAAAATCTAGTGATTCGAACTTACCCATAGCTTGTCATCTTTTCCGGGAGGACTTTTCTGGATAAATGCACCATAGTAAGTAGCTATATTTCGATGATGGGAATACTAAAGGTAAAAATAAACGAATTACAATCACAGAATTAAAAAAAACTACTAAACAATTTTTAAGTGAAATATTGTTCGCCATAACAGGTGTTGACCCAAGTGGAAATTGAGGCCACTCTTCACAAAATTCTTATTCTAAAAAACAGACCCTTCACAAAAGTCAAATTTTCAAAAATGAATCTTTCACATAATTCTAATTTGTAATAACAAAAACAAGAAATTCACATAATTCAAAATTAAACTACTACTTAACGTTTTTTTTTAAATTTTTTGATGTAAGTATGTGTTATCCAATAGACTACTATCTCCAAATCTTTGACAATGATCAGGCAAGGAATAAAATGTAAGCACCATTAATTTTTAACAATGCATCGTAAAAAATATTTTTAAAAAAATATTTTAAGTATTTTATTAAATTACAGCATACACTTACTTAGAAAAAAAAATTTTACATTAAATATAAAATTATTTGCTAAACCTGAATGTTAATCATTAACTAAGAAATTTTCAAAAAATAATTTTTATTCCTCGCAAACATGGGATCTATAAAATAAACTCCTGCATGATAAAATAGCCAGTTTTCTTACCTTTTTCAGAACATTTATTTCAAGCTTTATTTCGTCCTCCTCATCCTAGAAAAAAAAATTTTAATTATTTTTAGGTACAACATCAATGAGAGAAAACATACACAGAGATAAGACAATAACTCATCTTAAAGTCTCAATGTCTCATTTACAAAAACTTTCATGATAAATTCTAAATAACTTAAACACCAAATGATAAATGTTTTGTAAATACAAAGTATCCACACATAAAATGGTTATATTTAAATTGTAGGCTAATTGAATAATTCAGTTCATTGCCAAAATCCGTCATGATTTTACTATGTTACAGGCTAATTGGAAAAGTCTTTAGTATTTTCAAATCATCCTAACATTCACTGCAATGCCACATCGTACTTTTAGGCCAATTAGAAAATAAACCATTCATTGTTCAATTAGGCAGATATATTTCAGGCAGTTTACAATAAGCCCAGAGAAATAAAAGATTATTTTAAATGCATTGCTAAAGGTTTATTGCAATAAGCCTAAGCAAATTTGCTACTCAGGCTGAGTAATTCGTTTCTTAATTAGCCTAATAGCATGTAGGCTTGAATCCTGAAAAAATATCAGACAAATTAGAAAATATTGGAAGACTTTTAGATAGCCTAAAGGCATGACAAAAAGCTGGATTTTTTTCATTAACGAAAGATATACATATCGATAAAAAAAAAATAACTTCGGAAGCAAAATGACAATACTCAATACCAAAGATAAAAATTTTTAAAAAAAATTTTAAAAATTATAAATATGGAAAACATACATTATTAGTAGCACTTCCAACACCACATTTGTAAGGTTTGAAAAGCTTACATTTTTGTAATGACATGAGCTTTTTTACTATATTTTTGTCAAATTTTAAAAAAAAAAAAAAATTAAAAAAAAAAACAGTTTTGTTTAAGAATTTTTTGTGATTCATTGAATGAAAAAATATTGTTCTCAAAAAGTATAATAGTTGGAATTATATATATAAATGTAAAATTCTTACTAATTTAGCACTTAATCCTTCATGAATCAAAAATTGAAAATAAAACACTGCTACAATTTTGTAGTAATAACTTGGGACATTCTTCAAAAAACTAAGAATGGATGCAGTTTTTTAATATATCACTTCCATGCATTTATAATTTATTGGACTATATGTTTATCTTTTTAGAAACAAACAATTTATATCAGGAAAGTCGTTATTGTGAATTCAAAGTTTGCTTATTTGAAAATCTACTGTCAGGATATAAAGCAGTGACGTACATAGACATATGTGCGCCCCTTTGCAAGATTTAAAAAAGCGCCCTATCTGAAACTTAACACAAATGTTTTAAACTTGTAATATGAAACAAACACAATTAAGACATTCAGGTATTTATAATCATTCATTTAATTTCAATTTATATAATTTTAATTGTTTAAATGTCAATTAATAGGGAATAAAAAATTGCGATGCAAAGTCGAAAATTAAAAAAGAACTAAAATGGAACATTGTATGCTCTTACCGACTTACCAGATTCAAATAAAATTAATCTTAAAAATATAAGAAAGTAACTCACTATCTTACAATAATTATATTCAAAGTTTAGTTAAGAGTTATTTTTATCTGTAAAGTGAATTAAAAAATGTCTTATAAAAGAAAAATATATTTTTATTGTAATTCATATAGTAGAGATGCAGAGCCTTTTTCAATGAAGGGCTGAATGTCTAAGTATTAAGACATGTTGATGGCAATTTCAAATGCAAATTAAATCTTTTAATTTAAGATATTGTACATTGTTCAAAATGACTTAAAATAAAACAAACGCATTATAGCTCAAAATAGGATTTAAGATTCAGTTGGGATTCAGTTTACATTTTTAACTTAAGGACATTTATATTTAGTGAATTATAAGAGATTTTATTAATGTTAAAAAATCTTAAAACCGTTTTTTAAAGCAACAAAAAATTTTTAACAAAATTCAAAAACAGTAAGCAGTTTAAAAAGTCAAATTCAAATTTCACGTTTTGTAATATATTGTAATAAAAATATTAAGATTCAAAGCACAATTGAAAAATAACATTGATTGACGATAATAATCCGTAGAAACAAAGCACGTCATAGGTGATAATTAAAAAGACTGATTCGTAAATCGCATGTCGTTATATCAGAGGATTAAAAATATCAGGATATTTGAAATTTCGTGGAAAAGTGTTGCAACAACTGTTGAAAGAACGATAAAAAAATAATAATAATTTAAAAAAAAAACACTTTTTTAATATCTTAGATTTTCGATGGCATCAGCATAAATAAAGCGTTCATTGGAAATGCTTGATTGGAGTGTCGTATTAATAGATATTAAAAATATCGGGATTTTTAAAACCATGTGGAAATGCGTAGAGCCAAAACTAAACATTAGAAAAAAAAGCTTGGATTTACGTTAAAATTGGAACAAATAAAGCACGTCAAAAGTTATTAGTATTTTCCAATTCAAAATTCTCGAGTCGTTGTAATATCGTGTTAAAAAGATCAAGATTTTAAGAAACACGTGTTCGACAAATAGCCTTCTAAAGACAATCGAGTCACTTGGATTTAAGTATGAAATGGACTCAAATAAAGAACTTCAAAAGTGATTACTAAAGTTCGAAATTCAAGCATCACAATTTTGTCCTATTTAAAATATTGGGATTTTTAAAACTATGAAAATTCGTAGTGAACCACCGAAAAGAGCGAACGAAAAGGTTTAGAGCGTCCAAACCTTAAATGCGCAATTCAAAATTTCTGATTTTTTTTTTTTTTTTTTTTTTTTTTTTTTTTTTTTTTTTTTTTTTNTTTTTTTTTTTTTTTTTCAAAATAAATTATAATAGATTATTATTTTTATGCCCAGGTGCGACCGCGGGCCGCACGTCAAGAACTAGCGGGCTGCAGGTGTAGTGTATATAGTGTACTATTTCTAGTTAATTCGCCCTCGTATTTCGAGTAAAAAAATCATTTAAAGGCAAAAAAAACAAAATTAAAAATTCTTAGTTATAGTTCATTAAAATTAAGTTTTGTGCCATAAACAATTCTGCAATTTTGGCAATTTTTTCGATAATATATTTTAAGAATTAATAAACTTAAATATTGTTAAAACTTCCACATTACTATGGTTGACATGTAGGCATAGAAAGATATTTTTTGTTTACAAAAAATCTGAAATTTTCAGTCCACTGTTGGGGCTACACGTGCAATCATATCCGGATCAGTCAGGAAGCCGTATCGCCGTCAGTCATACAATGATTTTAACTAATTAACGATAATAGAGTGTAAAAAAATATAATACATAAATCGGAAATTAAAGGTGTGTAAGAAGAAAAATAAAAGACTAAAGCTACACTAAAATATTATAAAGAGTCGCTTGCTTAAGCTTGGGTTATAATAACAAATATTCTAGGACGAACGAAGCATTTAGTGATAGGAAAATTGTGAGCTATTGCACTGAAATTTCACTGTAGCTAAAGTGTAGCTTAGGGGTGCACAACCTGTGGTCTGCACGCCAAATGCGACCCGCGAGAGCTTCTGGACGCAATAAAACAATTTCTTTTAATTTGTTTTTTTTTTAAACATTATAAATTTTCTTTCATTAAAATTTATATTACTCTATAAAAAGCATATATTTTTTGCACTTTCATTCTGTAAGTTTCTTTTTGGTTAGAATTTATATCCCAATCCCAATAATTATGTGTATAAGTATACATATTTATTTGATAAATAAATTATTGTCAGTATTTCTAGTTTTAAAGAAATTCAAATGATTAAGAATGCTTACATTTCTGCAAATATGTTATTAAATTTACTGATAAAAATATTTAATGCTTAGTACATTAATGTTTCTATAAAAATTATATTTGCCGATATCATAACTAAATATGTGTGCGGCCCTTCGTTAACCTACCTGTGGTGTGTGCAAGTGGCCCTTCACTCAAAAAGGTTGTGCACCCAATTTTATTATTTAGCTAATTTGTTAGTTAATTTGTGTTTTTCTGGCCTGAGTTATTTATGCTGAAAATTTCAAAAGATGCTGGGGTTGAAATAGTTAATTTTGTCTTAATTATGCACTTATGCAGTTGAGACATCAAAATGAATTTTACATAGTTCCACCACTTAACAGATCCAAGAAGACATCGTACAACATGATCAATGCCACCAAAGCTTGTTAACTCGACTAAAAGCCCAATAAGATAATTGCACAGTGAAGACTCTTCATATGGTCATAACCTCGGATGAGAGAGAGTAGATCAGGCAGCAGACAAGTTCTTGACGGTAGACCTTGATCATACGGTAATAAAGAAGGCGCACAGAAAACGAACAAGGTCTTTAACCCAAAACGTAAACAGGCGAAAAAGACAAGTGAAAACTCGAACTTGTTAAGAAAGTCAGGACGAAATCGAAAACTTGATTAACCATTATGAGAAGTATTTTTATGATTCGCTTGGGGAGGAAACACAGAATCGGATATTTTTCAAACTCGCTTGTGTTAACAATTTAAAACAAGATACAGCAATTAGAGACAACATAAAAACTATTACTACGAACTAAATCAATAAATTTCTAATCATGGTGGAACCTTATTTATGTTCTAAAAATACTAACTGTCAAGAGTTTGGAGATTTTAAAACAGGGTGTAACTACCAGAAAATATTTGCAATAATCGACAACATACACATATTGTGCAAACATTTTAAAATTCCAAATATACTTTTTAATCCTCTTTAATTTTCTCCGAATAAATTGATGATGGATATTTGCTTTATTTGGTAGCATTTTTCGATGCATGGAAAATACAAGGCTGCCACCCAAGCACAATTTGAGATATAAAGCGTGCAGTATTTTAAATTCTCTATTAATTTTTTCTAACAAAATTCGGACAAAACAGTTTCGCAATAAACAGTTTTTAATAGGTAGTTAAATAGTATAGTTGCATGCAATTAGATTTTTGATAAGTATCAATATTTTTAGGCCATTAAAGGAATTTTTTAGCATCTTTCAAATCGGTTTTTATCCGATTAAACTGTAGTAAAATTCGATT